CGTCATAGTCGGGCGCGGCCAGATGACGCCGCCCCGACACCCGGAAGTCATCGTCCACTGCGCTGAGCACGTCCGCCTCCTCGGAGTCGGATTGCTGCAGCGTCTCCGGATCCAAACCGCGAGCGGGAGAAGCCGAGAACGGGCTCCCGAACGAGGAATGGAAGCGTCGGAGCCAGCGGATGAAGGTCGGGAAAAAGCCTCAGCCGTCCCGAAATCCTCCGACAGATCACGCTGTGAACCCATGAGTGAAGCCGCCGGGCCGCCTCAGCGGCCGCAGGGCCCGCGCCACGCGGAAAACACATCCGGCCATCCTCGGAAAGAGAGCCATGCTGTAACTCAGTACCCGCACGGAAAGGGCTTCGCAACGGGCGCAGGCAGCCCCCTCGAGAGCTGCCCGTGCGTGCTCCATCCCCAAACATGAGACACACATCTCATGAGAATCTCCATCCGTGATGTACTGAGGGCAAGAAAAAACACACCTTCTGTACATCTGGTTGCCGGACATGCTGGTAGACTTCTTCTTCAGGTAAGACACACTGCTTGTAGGATTGGAGCTTTCTTCAAACAACATACAGAGCGCCTGCTGAATAGAAAAAAGCTAATGATGAGTGTGTACAGGTGTGCTTTATACTCCTCCGGTTATTCCGTCACACTTTACCGTTCGATCAACAAGCCAATAGGATTGGAGTGATTTCATTCACGTTCAGACCTGCTTCGCCTAGAGGCGTTCCCATAGTGTCGTAACCGACGCAGTTCGAGTTCCCTCGAAGGGGAACCTTAAAGCGAGTGAGCCAAAATAAACTAGACTACAAAACTCCAAACCCTGACAATATCAAATAAACACAGGTAAAATAACAGCACAAAACCAAATCCTAACAGTACCCACCTCTCAAAGGACGTCCCCAGACGTACTTAAACAAAACCCATCCCCCAAAACAAAGTCCAAAAAACCCCAGCCAGGGTGGGCGGAGGGAGGACAGGAGGAGGGCCAGAGTCCATGAAAACAAAACAAACACACAGTCCAGGAAAGCAGGGGCAAAAACAGCGGGTGGCCTGGGAGAGTGAGGATATCAGGCGGGCGGCCTGAAGGCAGAGCAAAGGGGGACCAGAAGGGGTCAGGTGGGTGGCCCGAAGGAAGGGCAAAGGGAGAGCAGGGACCAAATAGTTCAGGAGGTCGTCCCGGAGGACGAACCAACAGTCAACAGGCAAGGAGGCAACAGAGTTCGGAAGGTCGTCTGAGCTGGCTAGGGGGACAAGACAGTTCAGGAGGTCATCCCGGTGGGCGACTCATGAGGCCGGCCAAATGAAGGGGGCAAAACTGTTCGGGAGGTCGTCCCGGAGGGCGACCCAGACGGCCATGCAGAGCAGAGGGAAAACAGAATTCAGGAGGTCGCTCTAACAGGCCGGGGAGATCAGGGAAGCAACAACGTTCAGGTGGCCGTCCCGGAGTACGGCCCTGGAGGCCGGACAGTTCAGGTGGACGGCAGGAAGGCCAACAAAGAGGCTGGAAACCCACTGGAGGACAAGCGGGGGACCGGCAAGGTGGCGAATCCTCCCCGAAGGCCAGCGGCGAAGGCGAGACCTCTCTGGAGGCCTCAGCAGGGGTTGCAGATGACGGAAGGGACCCACCAGAGGCTTCTCCAAAGGTCGGGCCTCCAAAGGCGTAGGGAGCCTGGGGTCTCCCGTGGCAGAGCAGGGCCGAGGACCACGGCCGAGACAGCTGGGCCGAGGACCACGGCCGAGACAGCTGGAGTCGGTCTGACCACCGACTGGACAGCTGGGCTGCTGACCATATTGTTATTGTTATTGTTATTGTTTTTGGAGCCAGGGAGGAACGACTGAAAGTCAGTGCTCGAGATCAAGCCAGAAATCTTGGTGTAGTCATGGACTCAGACCTGAATTTGAGGAGCCACATTAAGACAATTACAAAGTCAGCATACTATCGCCTGAAGAATACGTATATCACGGATTAAAGGACTTATGTCTCAGCAAGACCTGGAAAAACTTCGACTCGTAGTCGACTCGACTACTGTAACAGTGTCCTTACAGGGCTCCCTAAAAAATCCATCAGGCAGCTGCTCGAGTCCTCACTAAGACCAAAAAGGTGGATCACATCACTCCAGTTCTGAGGTCTTTACATTGGCTTCCTGTATGTCAAAGAATTGATTTCAAAATCCTGCTGTTAGTTTATGAAGCTCTAAATGGTTTAGGGCCAAAATACATTTCTGATCTTCTGCTTCGTTATGAACCATCCAGACCTCTCAGGTCGTCTGGGGCAGGTTTGCTTTCTGTCCCCAGAGTCAAATCTAAACAAGGAGAAGCAGCGTTCAGTTATTATGATCCGTATATCTGGAACAAACTCCCAGATAACTGCAGGTCTGCTGAAACTGTCAGTTCTTTTAAATTAAGACTGAAGACTTTCCTTTTTACCATTGCTTTTAATTAAATATTTAACTAGTAGATTGATAACTTGCACTGCACTGTAACATTTACTGTATTGTTTTCTTTTTCTTTGTTTTTAGCTTTTTACCATTGCTTTTAATTATATATTTTACACTGCACTGTAACTTTGTGTGTGTGTATTTTTTCAATTTCCCTGTTGCTTTTATGTTTTATGTAAAGCACTTTGAATTACCTTGTTGTTGAAATGTGCTATACAAATAAACTTGCCTTGCCTTTGTATTTTATTAATTGATAAATATAATCTATTAACATTTCTATTTTTGAAAGCATTCTGACTTTACAGCATTTTTCAACACCGGCTTAAAACTTTTGCACAGTACTGTATATTTTACTGCAACTAGCGGTCCTCTAGTTCAGTGGTTCTCAAAGTGGGGTCCGGGGATCCCCAGGGGTCCTTGAGGGAGTTCCAGGGGGTCCCCAGCAAAAAGGGGAATACTTTATTTTTGTTATAGTTCCATCCACAGTGACATAATGTCTGACTATTTTGGTCATGGGCTTCATACACTATCTGTAATAAAACATCTAAAAAGCAAAAATCCTATCAGATGGGGGACTCTGGGACATTATCTTATCCATGGTCTAATTTGTGTTAGTTCAGTAGTCCCTGATGTGAAAAAGTTTGTTTTAAGTGTTACTATAACTATAATGTCATTGAATCTTAAAGCATTAAATATCTTTCAAAAAAGGGCTAAGAAGGTATTAAATTGCCTTACATATGTTATGTATCTATAAACTAAAAGTGGGATTGTGCTGCAGAAGGCTGTTCAATACTTTCACAATAATGTTTGCAGCGAAGAAGAACATCTGGTCGTCCTGTGTCACAACCAGGTTCAGGGACAGAGACACCACTGAGTTGTCAATTGTCACAGAGATGTCGTAGGATAGACCCTCCCTAGAAGAGCAGCTTGGTCTTGCAGTGGTTAAGCTTCAGGTGGTCAGCTTTGAGACATACACTGAGAGTCACCTGGGTTTCAGACTGAGACAGAAAAAGTCGAGTGTCATCTGCTGTGGTAGGGAAAGCCATGTGAGTGAATTACAGTAAAGTGACTTGGTGTAAAGACAAAAGAGGAGGGGACCCAGAACAGAACACTGAGGGACCCCAGTAGTGCGGCTGCAAGGGAACAGGCAGCATTTAATACCTGAGACTCTCAGTCCTTGGAGAGTGGAGGAGAAAGAGGCTAATCTAGCAGGGTGAAGTTCCTCTGTGACGGCGAGGAGGTCAATCTAATGCAATCTAATGTTCGCGAATTTAATCCACGCTTTCCTCGCGGGGGTTTTATCGCTGAACAACTGCTGAGTGTTCACACACAACGCGATAACGCGAATAAACATAACTTGCCATTACAACAGCTGTATGAACCCAAAGTAAATATGTTGCTGTGATTTAAGTGCAATAAATGCATTAAACTGATGGCGAAATAACTACGAATATGATGCAGATTTGTTAAACATATGAATTCATGTTTTGTCAGGTCTGTCAACAACTTCTAAAATGATTATTTTCTGAATGGAGTTCGGATTGATCAGGGCTATGCTATACTAACTTGGTCACAGTAAAGTGTGATAGCTGAAATAAAGTTACATACACATGTTTTCTGAACTCACCAGGTAGTTCAACCTCCTCACTTTCTTTTCTTACAGCAATGTCCAGTTTTGTCCGGTTTTAATATAAATGTGAAGTAGTAGTCCAACGATGTGCCAAACGACGCTAATGACACTGGAACAGGATGTGCGCGGAATCTAGCTGAGAAGCTTGAGTGAAGATAAATCAACGTTGTAATCTCAAAAACTAATTTAATAAAAGCAGTTTAGTCCGAGCTCCTGCCACGAGCAAACGGCGTAGTTGTCAGAGCCAGTCCAACCACGGGTGTTTATTTGTCCAAAAGCTGTAGCGCTGCTCCCTGCTCCTCTCCCCCAAGTTTAGCAGCTCTCCGCCGGCCAGCAGATTTTTATCGCCTGCACTGCCTGGCCCTCTCCACACAACGCTATGAAGTCATCTGTGACATACAGACATTCTCAACGCTGATAGCTTCATGCGACTTTCTCGCTTGAGTTGAAGATATTCAACTTACGCAAATTCCTTTGCGTTGCATTCGCTTCGCCTTCACATCGCTGGCGCCGCCTGACAGGAAATCGCAGCTCTACGCCTCTTTGCATTGACTTTATATGTAAACTCACCGCCCCGAATGTACGCTCCGCTTTTGGTCTGAAAGCACCATCAATTGAGTGGCCTGCCTTGGATACAGACAGGTTGAAGTTAAGTGAAAACAGCAAGCCAAGGTGTTTTAAAAGGAAGTGAAAGAAGACAGTCTGTGCATTAGTAAGTCTGTAAGTCTTTACATCAGAAGGGTTTCTTTAAAAGAGTGTCCACTCTGTATTTAGCATCAATGAAAGACATTGGCCTGCAACTAATGATTATTTTTGGTTAATTGTGTAATTGTCTTGTCTAAACAATATCAGGACATATGAAAAGTACTTGCATCTATCCCTCACTACTGTCTTTTCACTCATTGTCCATGACTGTTGTTTTACCTCAGATCTGCATTGAGATGGCTGACTCCAGCAGTGTAACGCAGACGGTGGAAAAATACAACACTTTCTCCCCAGATTCTGCTCAAAGGCGCACAGTTTGGTATGCATGTGCTTTTAAAACGTGAGGGGTATAAAATGGAATAGAATTAGTTTTATAATGACTCTGTCATTATGAAAGCAGGTAGCCTGTTTAAGTATTGATGTATTTTTTATTTCTTAAGTCCCCATCCTCACACCTAAACTGACCAACTTCTTCTTTTTTCTCTCTCCAGGAGTAAAGTTCATAGTTTTGAGACGTGAGTATACCACTCTGTAATTGATTCTTCTCCGTTCAAGAGAGACATAAAATGTTTAAGCATGACAATAATTATTGTGATGAGTGCAATTTTTATACGATGCCTGGGGATAACTTGTGGCTCTAGGTCACGTTTCAATGATAGATTTATGTATACATCTTCGAGTCCAGAGGTGACTCATGAAAACACTATGATTTTTAGAGCTCCATTTTCAGTCAATTAAACGATAAGCAGAAAATGTATCTAAAACTATGTTTTTAATCAGATAATAAATGCCAAAGACATTCTCAGGTTGCAGCTTCTCCAATGTGAGGACACATTTTGAATTATTCAGTCCCTCCAGGATTTTGTGGGCCTTTTAAGTGATTGTTGCAGTCTAAAATGCCTTATTTCGTGACAACTTCTCTAAAAAATTGCAATGAAATTGTGGGATTACATGAAAACTTCATGGTAGATTTTATTTAACTTTATAATTATAGTTGATTCATTAAACAGTCCCTGTAGGATTTTGTGGATCTAACCCTAACCCTGCACATATAAACCAGCTTACCTTGATTTTTTCAGCACTTGTTATTGACAGGGATGCAACATCCTGTGTGACATTGATTTTTCTTGTCTGACTTCCTCCATGCGTTTCTGCCAGTCTTTGTGTCGATCATGATTTCCTTAATGTTCAACCACAATACTGCATGTTTTGCAAAACAGTTTACCTCCGCTTCGGTAAAAAAGATGGATACTGTTTTTCATGGTCGTCCTTCTCTTGTCAGCAAATGTGAGACATTGGTATCACAAATGTCTAATGCGACTTGTAAACAAGGAAATAACAAGCTGATGTATGAAAATGTAAGTCTTCTAACTTACTATCAAAGGTAGAGGAAGAGGAAAGTGTCATAATACAGGAACTTAAGGACTCAAAGGCAGACTCGGAACAGTTTGAGGCGGTAACAAAGGGTTTTATTGAAAAGTGCAACGGAAGATTGGGTGGTAGGTTCCAACAGGGCAGAATGGAGAACACAGAGGAGAGGAGTTTGTCCAGGCAAGATGTGAGCAGAGCGGGGTGTGGCGTTCAGCAGAGTTCCCAGAGGTAGTGTGATCGTGGGCACAGAGAAAAACAGGTTAATCCAGGGAGACACAGAAATTACAAGGAATCTTACTGGAGTAGATCGTTGGCCTTGATGCATGTACCACATGTGGTTAACTGACGATCTGGCAAAGAATGTGAGGAGGACTGGGGTTGAAATACTGCAGGAGCTTGATTAGTGGAATGAGGACCAGGTGCGCCGCTGGAGCCAGAGAGTGTAGCCACGCCCAGACAAACACAGACAGGGAGGACAGACAGAAAACACAGGGAAGGGGGGAACAAAAGAACACAAGGTAGTGGGGAGATTCTGCAGTACCACAACAGAAAGTGAGGGGTTTTGAAATACAAACACTGAACACTTTTTTTTATTAACCATAATATAACTGAACATTTAACTGGGACACTGGATGAGAACTAACAAAGTATAGCTATATTCAGCCAGTTTGTGAGAAAAACCCTGCTGTCATTTGTTACTGACAGTCCTTTTCTGCTTTAATTTTAGTGTGAGGAACCTAAAACATCATCTACAAGATTCTAGTGAGATCAGTATAAACTTTGAACCGGATACCTTCATAGTCGAAGCCAAGTCCCCAGCTGTGAAATGCCAAAATCAGCCTCATCCCTCTTTTGAACTTTTGGTAACTGGGTCACAAGCTGCTCTTCAAACCAGTGGACCTGATGGATCAACCATTTCTGAGCCCATCACGGCAGGATCAAGTGCTAACCCCACAAATAATGGAGCAAAGGAAGACAAAGGAGCAAAGGAGGAACCAGGAACAGAGATTGGCATGGACTCGACTTTTTGTCCCAAGCAAATGGAAAATAAAGATGCAAAGGGGGAAGAAGGATCACTAACAACTTCAGTCTCCTCTGCTGATGCTAGCTTCTCCTCTGCAGTCAGCAGTGGAAACACAGTCCCTGCTGTTGCAAGTCCTGCCCGTCCCTCAACTTTGCATATGCCAGAAGAAGCTGCTCTTCAAATCAGTGGTCTGGATGCATCCCCCATTTCTGAGTCCATCATAGCAGGACCAAGTGCTACGGCTGCAGGTGACGCAGCAATGCATGAGGACAGTAAGAGACCAGGAATTGAGATTGTCATAGACGCCACTGTTTGTCCCGAGGAAAATGAACATATAAAGAGGCAAGAGGGGTCACTAAAAACTTCAGTCTCCTCTCCTGATGTGAGCTCTACCTCTGCAGTCAGCAGTGGAAACACAGTCCCTGCCTTTGCCAGTCCTGCCCACCTCTCAACAATGCACATGCCAGAAGAAGCTGCTGTTCAAATCAGTGGCCCCGATGGATTCGCCATTTCTGAGCCCATTGCAGCAGGGCCAAGTGGTACAGCCACAGGTGATGCAGCAATGAAGAAGGACGGTGAGAAACTAGGAACTCAGATCGCCATGGACACCACTGTTTGTCCTGTGGCAAATGACGATGTAAAGGGGCAAGAGGGGTCACTAACAACTTCAGTCTTCAATGCAGATGCAGCCTCTACCTCTGCAGTCAGCAGTGGAAACACAGTCCCTGCTGCTTCCAGTCCTGCCCACCCCTTAACATTGCTCATGCCAGAACAAGCTGTTCTTCAAACCAGTGGCCCTGATGGATCCATAATTTCTGAGCCAATCACAGCAGGACTAAGTGCTACGGCCGCAGGTGACGCAGCAGTGGAAGGGGACGGTGAGAAACCAGGAACTGAGATTGTCATGGACTCCAGTGTTTGTCCCGAGGCCAATGAAGATGTAAAGGGAAAAAAAGGGTCACTTACAACTTCAGTCTCCTCTACTGATGCAACCTCTTCCTTTGCAGTGAGCAGTGGAAACGCAGTCCCTGTTATTTACAGCCCTGCTCATCCCTACACATCGCTCATTCCAGAACAAGCTGCTCTTCAAATCAGTGGCCCTGATGTTTCCACAATTTCTGAGCCCATCGCAGCAGGACCAAGTGGTATGGCCACAGGTGATGCAGCAATGGAGAAGGACAATAAGAAACTAGGAACTGAGATCACCATGGACTCCACTGTTTGTCCTGTGGCAAATGAAGATGTAAAGGGTAAAGACGGGTTACTTAGCGCTTCCGTCTTCTCTGCTGATGCAACCTCTTCTTCTGCAGTCACCAGTGGAAACACAGTCCCTGCTGCTTCCAGCCCTGCACTCTCAGCTGCATCACTCATGCTAGAACATGCTGCTCTTCAAACCAGTGGCCCTGATGTATCCACAATTTCTGAGCCCATCGCAGCAGGACCAAGTGGTGCGGCCACAGGTGACGCAGCAATGGAGGAAGACGTTGAAAAACCAGGAAATGAAATCCACATGGACTCCGCTGTTTGTCCCAGACAACTGGCAAATGAACATATGAAGGGGCAAGAGGGGTCACTAACAACTTCAGTCTTCTTTGCTGATGTGACCTCTACCTCAGCAGTCAGCAGTGGAAACACAGTCCCTGCTTTTGCAAGTCCTGCCCGCCCCTCAACTTTGCATATGCCAGAAGAAGCTGCTCTTCAAATCAGTGGTCTGGATGCATCCCCCATTTCTGAGTCCATTATAGCAGGACCAAGTGCTACGGCTGCAGGTGACGCAGCAATGCATGAGGACAGTAAGAGACCAGGAATTGAGATTGTCATAGACGCCACTGTTTGTCCCGAGGAAAATGAACATGTAAAGAGGCAAGAGGGGTCACTAAAAACTTCAGTCTGCAGTGGAAACACAGTCCCTGCCTTTGCCAGTCCTGCCCACCTCTCAACAATACACATGCCAGAAGAAGCTGCTGTTCAAATCAGTGGCCCCGATGGATTCGCCATTTCTGAGCCCATTGCAGCAGGACCAAGTGGTACGGCCACAGGTGACGCAGCAATGGAGAAGGACGGTGAGAAACTAGGAACTGAGATCACCATGGATGCCACTGTTTGTCCCGAGGAAAATGATGATGCAAAGGGGGAAGAGGGGTTATTAACAACTTCAGTCTCCTCTGCTGATGTGACCTCTACCTCTGCAGTCACCAGTGGAAACACAGTCTGTGCTACTTCCAGCCCTACCAACCACTCCACATTGCTCATGCCAGAACCAGCTGTTCTTCAAACCAGTGGCCCTGATGGATCCATAATTTCTGAGCCAATCACAGCAGGACCAAGTGCTACGGCCGCAGGTGACGCAGCAGAAGGGGACAGTGAGAAACCAGGAACTGAGATTGTCATGTACTCCAGTGTTTGTCCCGAGGCCAATGAAGATGTAAAGGGAAAAAAAGGGTCACTTACAACTTCAGTCTCCTCTACTGATGCAACCTCTTCCTTTGCAGTGAGCAGTGGAAACACAGTCCCTGTTATTTACAGCCCTACTCACCCCTACACATCGCTGATTCCAGAACAAGCTGCTCTTCAAATCAGTGGCCCTGATGTATCCACAATTTCTGAGCCCATCGCAGCAGGACCAAGTGGTATGTCCACAGGTGACGCAGCAATGGAGAAGGACGGTGAGAAACTAGGAATTGTGATCACCATGGACGCCACTGTTTGTCCCGAGGAAAATGACCATGCAAAGGGAGAAGAGGGGTTATTAACAACTTCAATCTCCTTTGCTGATGTGACCTCTACCTCAGCAGTCAGCAGTGGAAACACAGTCCCTGCTGTTGCCAGGCCTGGCCACCCCTCAACAATGCGCATGCCAGAAGAAGCTGCTCTTCAAAACAGTGGCCCTGATGGCTCCACCATTTCTGAGCCCATCACAGCAGGACCAAGTGCTATGGTCGCAGGTAACGCAACAATGGATAGGGACAGTGAGAAACCAGGAACTGAGATCGTCATGGATGCCACTGTTTGTCCCGAGGCCAATGAAGATGTAAAGGGGGAAGAGGGATCACTTACAGCTTCAGTGTCCTCTACTGATGCAAATTCTTCCTTTGCAGTGAGCAGTGGAAACACAGTCCCTGCTACTTCCAGCCCTGCTCACCACTACACATCGCTCATTCCAGAACAAGCTGCTCTTCGAATCAGTGGCCCTGATGTTTCCACAATTTCTGAGCCCATCGCAGCAGGACCAAGTGGTATGGCCACAGGTGATGCAGCAATGGAGAAGGACAATAAGAAACTAGGAACTGAGATCACCATGGACTCCACTGTTTGTCCTGTGGCAAATGAAGATGTAAAGGGTAAAGACGGGTTACTTAGCGCTTCCGTCTTCTCTGCTGATGCAACCTCTTCTTCTGCAGTCACCAGTGGAAACACAGTCCCTGCTGCTTCCAGCCCTGCACTCTCAGCTGCATCACTCATGCTAGAACATGCTGCTCTTCAAACCAGTGGCCCTGATGTATCCACAATTTCTGAGCCCATCGCAGCAGGACCAAGTGGTGCGGCCACAGGTGACGCAGCAATGGAGGAAGACGTTGAAAAACCAGGAAATGAAATCCACATGGACTCCGCTGTTTGTCCCAGACAACTGGCAAATGAACATATGAAGGGGCAAGAGGGGTCACTAACAACTTCAGTCTTCTTTGCTGATGTGACCTCTACCTCAGCAGTCAGCAGTGGAAACACAGTCCCTGCTTTTGCAAGTCCTGCCCGCCCCTCAACTTTGCATATGCCAGAAGAAGCTGCTCTTCAAATCAGTGGTCTGGATGCATCCCCCATTTCTGAGTCCATTATAGCAGGACCAAGTGCTACGGCTGCAGGTGACGCAGCAATGCATGAGGACAGTAAGAGACCAGGAATTGAGATTGTCATAGACGCCACTGTTTGTCCCGAGGAAAATGAACATGTAAAGGGGCAAGAGGGGTCACTAAAAACTTCAGTCTGCAGTGGAAACACAGTCCCTGCCTTTGCCAGTCCTGCCCACCTCTCAACAATACACATGCTAGAACATGCTGCTCTTCAAACCAGTGGCCCTGATGTATCCACAATTTCTGAGCCCATCGCAGCAGGACCAAGTGGTGCGGCCACAGGTGACGCAGCAATGGAGGAAGACGTTGAAAAACCAGGAAATGAAATCCACATGGACTCCGCTGTTTGTCCCAGACAACTGGCAAATGAACATATGAAGGGGCAAGAGGGGTCACTAACAACTTCAGTCTTCTTTGCTGATGTGACCTCTACCTCAGCAGTCAGCAGTGGAAACACAGTCCCTGCTTTTGCAAGTCCTGCCCGCCCCTCAACTTTGCATATGCCAGAAGAAGCTGCTCTTCAAATCAGTGGTCTGGATGCATCCCCCATTTCTGAGTCCATTATAGCAGGACCAAGTGCTACGGCTGCAGGTGACGCAGCAATGCATGAGGACAGTAAGAGACCAGGAATTGAGATTGTCATAGACGCCACTGTTTGTCCCGAGGAAAATGAACATGTAAAGAGGCAAGAGGGGTCACTAAAAACTTCAGTCTGCAGTGGAAACACAGTCCCTGCCTTTGCCAGTCCTGCCCACCTCTCAACAATACACATGCCAGAAGAAGCTGCTGTTCAAATCAGTGGCCCCGATGGATTCGCCATTTCTGAGCCCATTGCAGCAGGACCAAGGGGTACGGCCACAGGTGACGCAGCAATGGAGAAGGACGGTGAGAAACTAGGAACTGAGATCACCATGGATGCCACTGTTTGTCCCGAGGAAAATGATGATGCAAAGGGGGAAGAGGGGTTATTAACAACTTCAGTCTCCTCTGCTGATGTGACCTCTACCTCTGCAGTCACCAGTGGAAACACAGTCTGTGCTACTTCCAGCCCTACCAACCACTCCACATTGCTCATGCCAGAACCAGCTGTTCTTCAAACCAGTGGCCCTGATGGATCCATAATTTCTGAGCCAATCACAGCAGGACCAAGTGCTACGGCCGCAGGTGACGCAGCAGAAGGGGACGGTGAGAAACCAGGAACTGAGATTGTCATGTACTCCAGTGTTTGTCCCGAGGCCAATGAAGATGTAAAGGGAAAAAAAGGGTCACTTACAACTTCAGTCTCCTCTACTGATGCAACCTCTTCCTTTGCAGTGAGCAGTGGAAACACAGTCCCTGTTATTTACAGCCCTGCTCACCCCTACACATCGCTGATTCCAGAACAAGCTGCTCTTCAAATCAGTGGCCCTGATGTATCCACAATTTCTGAGCCCATCGCAGCAGGACCAAGTGGTATGGCCACAGGTGATGCAGCAATGGAGAAGGACGGTGAGAAACTAGGAATTGTGATCACCATGGACGCCACTGTTTGTCCCGAGGAAAATGACCATGCAAAGGGGGAAGAGGGGTTATTAACAACTTCAGTCTCCTTTGCTGATGTGACCTCTACCTCAGCAGTCAGCAGTGGAAACACAGTCCCTGCTGTTGCCAGGCCTGGCCACCCCTCAACAATGCGCATGCCAGAAGAAGCTGCTCTTCAAAACAGTGGCCCTGATGGCTCCACCATTTCTGAGCCCATCACAGCAGGACCAAGTGCTATGGTCGCAGGTAACGCAGCAATGGATAGGGACAGTGAGAAACCAGGAACTGAGATCGTCATGGATGCTACTGTTTGGCCCGAGGCCAATGAAGATGTAAAGGGGGAAGAGGGATCACTTACAGCTTCAGTGTCCTCTACTGATGCAAATTCTTCCTTTGCAGTGAGCAGTGGAAACACAGTCCCTGCTACTTCCAGCCCTACCAACCACTCCACATTGCTCATGCCAGAAGAAGCTGCTCTTCAAACCAGTGGCCCAGATAGATCCACAATTTCTGAGCCCATCGCAGCAGGACCAAGGGCTATAGCCACAGGGGACCCAGCAATGGAGAAGGACGGTGAGAATCTAGGAATTGTGATCACCATGGACGCCACTTTTTGTCCCGAGGAAAATGACCATGCAAAGGGGGAAGAGGGGTTATTAACAACTTCAGTCTCCTCTGCTAATGTGACCTCTACCTCTGCAGTCAGTGATGGAAAAACAGTCCCTGCTGCTTCCAGCCCTGCAGTCTCAGCTGCATCATTCATGCTAGAACATGCTACTCTTCAAGTCAGTGGTCTGAATGCATCCACAATTTCTGAGCCCATCGCAGCAGGACCAAGTGGTACGGCCACAGGTGACGCAGAAATGGAGGAAGACTGTGAAAAACCGGGAAATGAAATCCACATGGACTCCGCTGTTTGTCCCAGACAACTGGCAAATGAAGATATGAAGGGGCAAGAGGGGTCACTAACAACTTCAGTCTCCTTTGCTGATGTGACCTCTACCTCAGCAGTCAGCAGTGGAAACACAGTCCCTGCTGTTGCCAGGCCTGGCCACCCCTCAACAATGCACATGCCAGAAGAAGCTGCTCTTCAAAACATTGGCCCTGATGGCTCCACCATTTCTGAGCCCATCACAGCAGGACCAAGTGCTATGGTCGCAGGTAACGCAGCAATGGATAGGGACAGTGAGAAACCAGGAACTGAGATCGTCATGGATGCCACTGTTTGTGTCGAGGCCAATGAAGATGTAAAGGGGGAAGAGGGATCACTTACAGCTTCAGTGTCCTCTACTGATGCAAATTCTTCCTTTGCAGTGAGCAGTGGAAACACAGTCCCTGCTACTTCCAGCCCTACCAACCACTCCACATTGCTCATGCCAGAAGAAGCTGCTCTTCAAACCAGTGACCCAGATAGATCCACAATTTCTGAGCCCATTGCAGCAGGACCAAGGGCTATAGCCACAGGGGACCCAGCAATGGAGAAGGACGGTGAGAAACTAGGAACTGAGATCACCATGGACGCTACTGTTTGTCCTGAGGAAAATGAACATGTAAAGGGGGAAGAGGGGTTATTTACAACTTCAGGCCTCTTTGCTGAGGCCGACTCTTCCTTTGCAGACAGTGGTGGAAACACAGTCCCTGCTACTTCCAGTCCTGCACTCTCAGTTGCATCACTCATGCTAGAACATGCTGCTCTTCAAACCAGTGATTTATCTGCAATTCCTGAGCTCCATGCAGCAGGGCCAAGTGGTACGGCTGCAAGTGAGGCAGCAATGGAGGAGGACAGTGAGAAACCAGGAACTGGGATCTTCATGGACTCCACTGTTAGTTCTGATGCTAATAAAGATGTAAAGGGGAAAGAGGGGTCACCAACAACTTTAGTCTCCTCTCCTGATGTGACCTCTACCTGTGCAGTCAGCAGCAAAAACGCACTCCCTTCTGCTTCCTGCCCTTTCCCCTCTGTCGCATTGCACACACCAGAAGAAGCTATTCTTCAAAACAGTGGCCCTGATGGATCCACCATTTCTGAGCCCATTGCAGCCGGACCAAGTGCTACGGCCGCAAGTCATGCAGCAATGGAGGAGGATGGTGACAAACTAGGAACTGAGATTGCCATTGATGCCACTATTTGTCCCAAAGCAAATGTAAATGTAAAGGGGCAAGAGGGGTCAACTTCAGTCTCCTCTGCTGATGTGACCTCTATATCTGCAGTCAGTGGTGGAAACACAGTCACTCTCACTCACCCACTCTCAGCCAATGTACTTGTGCATGAAGAAACCTTTGAAGACCTTCCTCAGATTAACATGGTCATTTTTCAGGCAATCAAAGCGGCAGTTCACCAGCACAGACTCAACCGTGGGAGCATGTCCCAGAGAGAGAAGGGGGAGGTGAGGCTTGGCTTTAAATATTACTTTTGGCAATAGTGTATTTTGTCAGTGCCAAAATGTAGAGACAAGCTGGCAATCAATTTCAAATGATATTAGTTTTACTTACTTAAGTCCATATGTGGGAAACACTGTATATGCATATATACATATATTGAGCATAGCATTAGTTCAGGCAGGCAACAAAGTCAAGCTCAGCACACAATTCCAGCACATCAGCTGATAGCAGCACATGTCAATTCAACCTACATCAGCTAACAGCTCAGCGGATTGCCCTCTTACCATGTATGTTATCTTGATAAATAAATTCTTCTTTTGTCTCCATCCAGGGTCCGGATTTTACAAATGACATAGTTTCTTCAGACACCTATCTTTTTGATGAGCAAAATTTCAACATGGAGGACTTTGTCACTGTTGATGAAGTTGGTGATGATGACAAAAGCCCCGAGCACTATACTTTCTCCTCATCCGAGCAGTTCTGTAGAGCGAGAGAAAAGCAAAGCTCAGGTTTGTTGTCCACTGGCAAACAGACCTCAACAAGGTCTTCAAAAGACTCTATGAGCTCAGGCTCTTCCTCGTCCTCCTCATCCAAGTCAACTAAAGGTTCAAACTCTTCTAAATCAATCTTTGTGTTATCAAAAAATTCCAAGGACTCATCTGAGTCCACCAAATCCCCTAACAAACCCTTGTCTTCTGACACTGTCAGTAAGGGCCCTTCTTCTCCACTGCTTACAAAAAAACCATCCTCCACTGGCCTTAAAAGGCAACAGAGCAGGACTAAATCTACAGTTAGAGAAAAAACAAAAGACACAGAGAGCACAATGGCAAAGTCTGACCTCAGAGTGTCAGCAGAGGGCTTTTTTGCAAAATCTGGTCAGTCATACAGAGAATGCGACAAAGACAATTTAAAAGGCCCTGCAAGTGAGGATACTGGACAAGAAGCCTTTGAGATATTGGATTCCATTGATGATCTGACTGCAACGGAAGATGACAAACTTGAAGCTCCCAGTGAGCAGATATTCAAAGAAGACATTAGGCCTATAGAGGAAGACACATATTGGGTAATTGATTCAGTGGGAGATCAGCCGATGACTAGAAAGACTGAGTCAAAGATTGACAACAAGGACAAAAGCACCGAGAAAGAGGAGGCAGCTGCTAGAAAAATTAATAGACCATCAAAGAGGAGTGGCCCTGAAACCTCTGCATTCAAAAGTGAAGAGAATCCATACAAACATGACAGGACGGCAAGAAAGTACGAGACACAAACCAAGATGGACACCATTGCAGGGGTTTCTAAAAAAGACAAAGAGGTCACTGAGGAGGTGGTTTATGAGGTAGTAGATTCTGTTGAAGACGAACCGATTGAAGATGCTACCGCCACAGAAAGGTCTCATAGAAGAAGAAGTGCAAGAGGAAAAAAAGAGGATAAAATTATATTCAATTTCACAGAAGCGTTTGAAAAGCCAGAGGAGGATACGTACAAGATTCTAGACTCTGTGGAGGACGAGACTACCGATGACAAAACGGCCATTACGACAAGATCTACCAGAGGAAAAAAGGAAAGAACAACTAAGAAAGATGCTTCGAATGAGAAAATAAAAAAAGGGGACACGCCAACGAGAAGGAGGCACACTCCTGCCAGAGAGTCACAGGAACGAAACAGGGAAAAAACACCAAAGAGAGAGTCGAAAGTTCCTCCAGTAGAGAGCACACCAACAAAGAAGAAGGACATTGTTGCAAGAGAGTTAAGTGAGGACGCTACCTGCGAAATATCCTGTATGGAGGAAGAGGTTGTTAAGCATGATTGGCCCGCCACAGCAGGAAAAGGAAAGAGGGGAAGACCAAAGAAACAGGTTAAAACAACAAAAAAAGACAAAGTAACATTGAAGGATGACGAAGACGCATCCGAAAAAGTGGCTGAGGAAGAAGAGGCAGTGTATCAGATTGTTGATTCTGTGGAGGACGAGACCGTTGATGATCAGCCTCCAACAGGACAGTCTGAGAGTGCGAGAGAGGAGAACACTTCTAAAAACAGTGACAAGCAAAATATAAAAAATTCATCTCTTGCAGGATCCCCCAAAAATGAGGAGGAGGAAGAGGAAGAGCCTATGTACCAGATCATAGATTCCCTGGAAGACGAAGTTCAAGAAGAGCTGACAGCAACAGGTGGATCTGATAGAGGGAAGGAAAATAGTGCGATAAAAGATGAGACTCCTACAAAAGAAGAGGCATCAGCTGAAAAAGAAGGTACACCAACATGTGGTACCACAGTTGTGGAAGCCTCTGAAAAATGTCTGTACGAGATAGTTGATGATTTAGAGGAGCTAAATGATGTTCCATCTGCTGCAGAAGGGTCTGCTACAAGAAATGAGGAAAGCACTCTCAAAACAGACATTAAGAAAGAGGACAAATCAACAACCAAGTCCCAAAGTGATACTGCGACACGGCAAGAGGAACAAAAACCACCTGAGAAAAACGATACAACGGCAGAAACAAGCACTCTAGGGAACCTAGATGAAGTGAGCGAGGAGGAGGAGGATTACCCTGACGACACGGCCGAGGAGGAAGAACTGAGGAAGAGGCAAGCCTCCACAAAAGAGAGGCAGTTTGCCAAAGAGCGAGAAGCCAGGAGGAGGGAGGAGAGGAGAACCAGAGAGAGAGAGGAGAGGGAGCGAAGGAGTCGGAGTAACAGCAGCAGCAGAGGAGGATGCGGCAGTCAGGGAGGGACGAGGAGGACCAAGCAGAGGGGGAGGGAAACAAAGGAAAAGGTAGATGCCCAAAAGCTAGTGACTCTGGATGAGGTGGGAGCAGATGAGACTGGAGAGCAAAGAGTGCCAGAGAGCCGAGAGTGGGACAGGGAGATCACTGAGGGAGAGCAGCAAGCACTCATCACTCTGGATGAGTTTGTAGAAGAAGAGGAGGAGGAGGAGGGGAAGGTCGAGCAAAGCATGCTGGAGACCCGCCCACTCAGCCAGGAGGACGAATCAGTGGACTCCTTTTTTCTTCCACTGGAAATTACGGTGAAGCACTGTCAAACCGAAATGTAGAAAACACAGATACAGATAAACTGATACTAAACGTGTGTCGCATCTTTTTTTAGACTTTGGCAACTTTAGATGAAGCAGGCGGTGATGAGGAAGAGAAGCCGGACGAACAGCAAGCTGAGAAAACATCAAGATCTGTTAAACGCAAACACGATGATGACACAGGTGTGTGCTCTTCTGTCTATACATAGTGCTGCACATTTTGCCTGGTATAAGTGCATTATACCAACAAGAAAACTAATAATAATCTCCATTTTAACTGTGTGATTTCAAACCAGTAGACAGCAGACAGTATGGCTCTTGGTGCACAGTGTTTTGACGTGCGCATAATGATGTGACACATCGCGCAGCATGTGTGTAAATTTGAAATCGGAAATGTGACACTGATTGGTCCCAGTCACCGGTCATGGTCGATCAAGCTGAAAACGAGCCGATCCCGGTCACCAGCCGATCAATGGGTGCACCTCTAGCCGTTATAATTTATATTAGTTACACTCTTCTCCTGCTTTTAGTCAAAATGTCTGCTGTGAAAATTTAGAAGAAGAAGGGTTTTTATTTATTCACATATACATACATATATTCATATGCACTTGCAATATAACAAAGAACAAAGAAGTGATCATATATGTGAACTGGTCCCCAAAGAAGCTATCTAAAGCTTATGCTCGGGGCCAGTACAATCAAAAAAAAGAAAGAAAAAACAAAAACAAGAAAAATGTGTGGCCTACATATAAGACAATTCATACATAACTTTCACACAACACATTAAGGGATCCCATTTAACAAGCACAATTTTGTTTTACAGTTTACCTTGAGATTGTAGGAGTAACACTGACATACATTCAGAATATGAGGTAGTACATACATCAAGAAGATGAATACAAGTGTGGTGTATAACATATGTGCATTTGACCATTACAGTTTAACATAATGCTCTGCAGCTGGAGAGAGGGACAGTGAACCCTTATGGGGAAGTAATGATTGATGGGTGTGCAAAGAGTGAACCCTCCTATGGAATTTGACCTCTGACCCAGTGTTAGGGGGAGTAGAGTTTAGTGTGAATGAAGGGACTGTACCCTTCTGTGGTGTCTAACAGATGGTTACACTTATTCTACAGCACTGTGCCCTTATATGGTATTTAGCAGAGACATAAACATGTCCTATATAAGCTGTGTTCGATGTACAGAGAGACAGAGTGGTTATTGGGCTGGGTCACTCTCCAAGCTGCTGCAGAGCTTGTAATTGATGCTGAACTCCTTGATGTAATAAACTTTTATGATCAAGAACAGTGTCAAGCGGATTTCTTCTCAACACATCATCGCAGCATTATCGTTCGGACACCACACAAGCTTAATAGTTGTTTCTTCAGATTTTGTTTAAAGGAAACAAAAGAGCTTGAGTTTTTCAGATTGTCATCCAGCTCATTCCAAATCCGCGGTCACCGGCACACTACACTCACACTAGTGCTTTTTAATCTCCGGTTTTTCCCAATAATAATGTGCTTATTTCTAGTGAGGTGAGTGTGCTGGGGACAGCGGATGGGAACAAGCTCACACAAACTGCTATTCAGTCCAGAGACCACCTGATACATAGTACATGCATTGTGAAATATATTATATTCATTTAGTCTTAAAATACCGTACCCAAGAAAAATAGAACGAGTTGGAGCATTGAAATCAGACCATGATATGGCACGAATGACTTTTTTTTGTAGAAATTCTAATTTTTTTAAGTAAGTATGATAAGTATTGCACCAAATAATATTGCAATAGTTTAAATGGGGTTCAAAGAGTGTTTTATAAAGAGTAAGTAGTATTGCTTGAGGAAGCAGATGTCTAAGCTTAAAGAACAGACCAACATATTTTGATAGCTTTTTGACAAGATATTCAATATGGTGTTTAAAATTTAGGTGATCATCTATAAAGACACCCAAAAATTTAGTTGTCTTCACTCTATATTTCCTCTCCCTTTATTTTAATTTGAAAATTTAGATAATCGAAATCAAGTTGTTTTTTGTTTGGACAGAATATTATATAGTTTGTTTTGCTGGTATTTATAGATAGTTTATTTACTTTGAACCAGTTATCCACATTCTGAAGTTCTTTGTTAAGTAGTTTCTGAAGTTCATATTCATTTTTGTGTGATAGAAACAGGTTATCTGCAAAGATTACTTTATGAAGGGTCTTTGAGGAATTTCCCAGATCATTAATGTAAATAATAAAGAGGAGAGGACCTAATATGGATCCTTGTGGAACATCACATTGAATGTGTTTGTTTTCTGATCTCTGTTTGTGAATAGTTACATATTGTTGCCTCTGGTGTAAATAACTCTTGAACCAATTCAGTGGTTGACCTCTGATTCCATAATGGTGCAATTTATACAGTAATATGGTAAAGTCGATGGTATCAAAAATGATCTGTTGGCTGCACCAGTGATGATTTAGGTGTGTCCTGTGAATGTAAGGAATTATTTTTTTTGTACATTTTTATTCATTTAGCTGATGCTTTTATCCAAAACGACTTACAATTGCTATGTATGTCAGAGGTCACACACCCCTGGTGCAACTAGGCATTAAGTGTCTTGCTGAGGGATACATTGGTGGATGTGTTATAGTGGGGATTTGAACCTGAGGCTCTCACACCAAAGGCATGTGTCTTATCCACTACTCCATCACCACCACACCGCCCTCCAAACCAGGAGCTTCTCCTCATTCAAATTCAGCGTTCAACCTTGGTCCTACAATTACATTTTGCTTTTCGTCTCTAAAATATTGCTGCAGGAAATTGTAAACAAGTGTTGTGTTAATGTTTGTCTGAAACTTGTCCTGTTTTAGGGGAAAGTATGAACTTTGTCACAGTAGAAGAGGTCGTTGAGCTGGATGAGGAGGAGGAAAAGAAAGCGGTAACACCCAGGACAAGAGGCCGAACCAAGAAGAGAAGCAGACAGACCCCTGGTAACACACACACATCTATATCTTTTATACATTTATACCATTACTTGAAATCTGATCTCAAAGAGGAAACATAATTTTACATAACATAAACAGGCATCTTTGGTTTCACTGTTTTCCAATGACGGAGCTCTAAAACATGAAACGTAGTTAATTAAGAGTATTATGTTGCAGTTTTCCTTTCATCTGTTCGCTCAGCCAATTCATTGTCTTTTACCACAGTGAGAAAATCTACCAGAGGGAAAAAAGTGTGCAAGAGAGAAGGAAAGCAGACATCTGAAGCTGATGTACTGCCTCCCACGTCACTCAACGCCTCATCGTCATTGGACAAAGATCTGTCCACGTTGTCGAGTGACGGTCAGCCAGAGATCCAGAAGACTGAGGCAGAGGTGGAAGCAGCAGGCCGAGCCGACGTCGACGCTGCCTCAGCTGGGCAGGAGCCGCAGCCGGAGAACCCTAAGAACCTGGAAGGATGTGTGGAGGCGGGAGAAGAGGAGAAGGAAGGACGGAGCAGGGTGGACATTAAAGGTACAGAGAGCTGAGGACAGAGGCCAGAGACACTTTATTATTCACTTTTAGCATACCAGCCACACAGAGATGGTATTGTGGACCAACGAAAGTGGACCTTTCTCAAAATTAACACTGAAGTGGAGGAATTTTAATTCACATTGAGCAAATAACGAATATATTTCATTATATATTTATTTAGTATATAAAATGTCTATGAATCCAACTTGAAGTTTTGTCAGAAAAATCAATTTTATTTATTTATGTAGCGCCACATCATAACAAAAGTTATCTCAGGGTTATATAGAGCAGGTTTACGCTGTGTTCTTTGTCATAGTATTTAGAGACCAAACTATCTTCTACCATAGAAATTTTGAGAAGCTTGACATGATGTGTTCATTATCAAAATTGTTGCAGATTACGTAATTAGTTATTTCTCCTTTACTTGCATTGCAGTGCAGATGGAAAAAGCACTTAAACGACTTACAATTACAGATTGTTCTTTACTTCTTTAGCTGTGAGTAAGCAGAGGAGGGAGCTCATTGAACCTGAAGCAAAGCGATCTCGTTCTCAGTCTCCTTGTGTCTCTGCTGACTTCAAACTGCCGGCATTTAAACCCAACAACCCCCTCGGTGAGAGACACGAACACACACAGCGCTCACACAACACACTCCCATTTTATTTTCAAACAAAATGAGAAGCAAATGTTTTGTCACACTTTTGTTTCACTTTCAACTGCCTTCCTCTTCAGGTCAGAACTTCGTGGTCCCCAAATCAGTTTTTTTCTGTAATCTCTGCTCTGTTTTCTACCTGAACGAGAGCACCACCAAGGACCTCCACTGCAGCAGCCAGAGACACTACGACAACCTGCAGGTACATACAAAGACATACACAAAATGAAACCCACTAAAACACACACACTTGGACTCACATTGTTCCACTTCTTCTTTCAGAAACATTACCAGAAGCTTCAACAGTCAAGAAGTTCAACACAAAGTTCTCAAGGCTCTGCTTCTGAATGATCCCAACTTCAATACTGATTTATTTCTGTATTGTTTGTAAAAAAAAAAAAGTGAAAACAAGAAAAGAGAAAGCTTTGTTAATCACTGTAGAGATGATCCATGTTTGTTCAACTCCTAATATTCACATAACAGTAGTGCATGGAAACATGCATTAATTATCACTGTATTTTGCATATAGTGACAACAACAAACCTATTATGTAATCTGTAAAAAAGCAGGTTCCTCGTAGTGCTCTTTATGGTGTTGTGCACTGCTTGTGCACACACTGAACAGCCCCCATCCTCATGCATGCTCTCAATCAGTCATCCTCAATATCAGTGCGGCTTTAGAAGTTTTGCAAACACGATGTCTGAGAAACAACCACCAGCAATGAAAGAACTGCCCCTCCCTCCTTTGCCAACAGCAAGCAAGCAAGAGGGGCCCAGGTCCTGGCTAGGCTCCCGCTATTGACACTATGTGAGATGAGATTTCGCAGGGCAACCGGCTCCTTCTGCTGCCGTACAAAATTGTGGGTTTGGTGGCCAGGGTTTTGCGGCGTGATACGAGCAGCAGAGAGAGACATGTTTTGCATTTTATGTTCAGTTGTTACCGACTGCAGCTTTAACTGTGAAAAGAATCATAGAGATTATATTATGGGTTTGTTTTTGTGTTTCATTCATTCTATCTATCAATTCTAGTAAATCATGACTAATGTATTTTTTTTATGTAGAAGTGTTTTTAAGAGAAAATAATTTTTAAGTCAGTTATTATTTAAACATGTACCTGACACAGTATCCTGTACTGAACTCAACAATTCCTGTGGAGGGAAAGGTCACTGTTTGGTTTGACTTGGTGTCACAATTTTACTGTTTGCTTTGTTCTGTTTCTATAAAACATGAATTAAAATCTCGTATGGCTTCTGATGGTGGGTCTTTAACAGTGGGCTAATAAAATAAATGATTGAATGAATGACTAAGTTAGTTTTAAATTTTTTGTAGTACTCAAGTACTCAAAATGGAGTTTTGAAGAAAGGATTAGGGGCATGCTTCAATTGCTGGCACCACTGCGCGAGACTCCTGCATACCAGTATTGGCTATAAAGCCATGGAATAACAATTGTGGTAGAAGTATTCAGATCCTTACTTTGATAAAAGTATTAATGCCACATTAAAAATACTCTACTACAAGTCCTGAATTCTGAAATGTAAAAGTATGTAAGTATTAACAACAAAAGTTACCTAAAGAAAAAAATACTATAATATCACTGGACAATTCCTGCTGCATGTGAATTTTGCATTTTACTGCTGTAGATGTATATAGTTGTGTTATAACTACTTTATATACTGTTGGGTCGGCCCTGGCATTTTTGGCCAAGGCGGCCCACCAAAATTGGTCGGACACCCCTCACCAATACACCATCCTTGCTTTTAAGGGCTTAGATTAAGGGTTTGACAAAACTAGTAGCCCATGAGACTTGATACTGCACAATAGTCAGACCATGACAACAAAACAACAATATATTTAAATTGGCTTAGTATTTGGGGGAAAAAATGTATTGACGAAATAGTCAATAGGGGGGTCTGGGTATCCTTCCCCTGAAAAATTTGGGCTTTAAACACTTCATTTCCTGCATTCTAGTGAATATTTCTGCACCAATTCATTGAGGAAATGTCTTTATTTATATAAAAGGAAACACAAAATTCAGGTGACAATTCAAAAGTCTTTAAATGTGCAAGTGGCCCCTTTTCACCTCTATGATAAATGAATTCATTTTAATTCAGTTATAAATCCCTGCACCTTAATAGCTCCTATGTTTCAGCAGCTTTTCTGCTCATGTTCAAAACTTTCAGCGCATTAAAAATCTCTCCCACATATCTGAGTTCTCTGACATTTGCAGAATAACAATTTGAGATATAAAATTACGAGATATAATGACAATGTAGTCATTACATTTTAACAAAATCTGCCTGCCCCTCTGCTGTGCATTACCCTGCGTTATTGCTCTGCTGATATGGTAGCAGGCTGCTACCCCCTTTAGACCGTCTGACAGACAGAGTGCCTGTCTGGGACTGTACTGGATGAAGACCAGCTCACTGGTCTTCATCAGAGGTAGAAAACTGAAATTGAAAACACTTTTGATCAGACAGAAATATCACCACACATGCGGCCACTGTTTGTGTAGCAAATACACTCTCTCCCTCTCTCTCTCTGCTTTTGAGCCCAGCTGACGATCCACACCTGCACCTCGTCAGCAACCTCCTCTGCAGTCAACTCCATCCTGGCCAGTATTTCAACCCCGGTTGAAGTATAATATAACTAGAACAAAACCAACTACACAAACCAGGGAATAGCTGCTAGTTAATGTAGCTAGCCACGACACAAATGTATTCAGTTCTCCTAATGTTACACTTGTCTGATAATCCCTGTCTCACATGGCCCTGACTCTCCCTGTTCTGTGGTCACTTTATCTCACAGCAACAAATATTTCTGAACACAGAACTGTCTTCAATGCAAACTCTGACATGCTATTAACCTAACAAAGTCATTTTACTCTGTGAATTTTAGAACAAACAATACAGTAGGCTATGTCTACTAGCTATCCAGGCAACTTACAAGCTAGTCCTGCTCAGTTATTTTTGCCCCTCCTTCTGTGACCTCTGTCCTCTTCCTCTTAAAATACTGCAGGATGCTCATCTCTGTGTGAACATTTTGACCAGTTACTTTTAAATTGTTTATGGAGTTTGTCCCTGTTCAGTCCACTCTCCAGACAAAGTATTTGTTGGGGCCCTGTGTCTTTAGAGAACTTTATTCCTAGCAAGTATAACTTTATGAGCCAATACATTTTCAAAACTAGCAACCCCTCTCTAACTCTTCTAAAGTAATCACCTCAGCTGAGCCCTTGAGTATGATAAATAATAAGCCATATCATCATCATGCTTACCATAAATTTGTGCTGTGCTGGTTCTAACTCTGTTTTGCTATAGACCTCATCTCTGCTATCTGTCTCATGTTCTCCATGTCAGCGCCAGTACAGGGACTGCTGGCCAGTGGCGGGTAGAGTACTCAAAATCTTTACTCAAGAAAAAGTACAATTATTCCCATAAAAAGAAGAAAAGAACACAAATGACAAACCCATTTCATCTGTTGCATTTCCAGACATTAAACAGACATTAGTGATTATCCTTAATTATTTTGAATCTTTTTACCTAGATGTGCCTTGACTTTACTTATAGCCTAAGTGCTGAACTGTAGTCATGAATACAGAAACAAGCTCACTGTGGTTAGATCCTTGAGTGGGAGTATTGACTGCAGACGCTGAGACTATGCACGCCTTGTTCAACTGTTATCTACTGTAAATTATGACTGCAGGAGAGGCTGCAGGTGTTCAAAATCTGCTGACACTGTGAGAAGTGCATGCTTTGGTCTACTGTTATCTGTTATTACAAGAGGGACTGTTGAGGTGTCAGTCTGCTGATATTAAGACTACATGTTTAATTACTGATTACTAAGATTGATTGATTGTCAGCTTCCAACCTTTAATTATTACAGCCTGTGTGAACTTTGAGTGAACTTCCTGAAGGAATTCGCGACAGATACTGGGTGAGCAAATTCACGTCAGATAGTGGGTGAACCAAAACACGACAGATTAATGCTTTACGATTTCGGGACAAATTGATGAGCAGAAACACGACAAATACAGCCAGCAATATCTCAAGATTACTGTAAGAAACCAAGCATTAATGAAAGATACAGCATTACGTATGTTATTCTTGTATTAACTTAAATACACTTGTGTCAAATTATGCATGTATAACTTTTTAAAAAATATGGTGAGATTGATTTGAAATATAATGGAGAACTTCTTATCCAATAATGAAAAATATAGAAAGACAACACCACAGTAATAAATAAACAGCTGGAAAGAGGTGTTAAATTGGTGAAACAATACGTATAGGCGGCCACCAGATGGCAGCAGAGGATAAGAAGTTCACCATAAGGAGAGGAGTGGTCAAGAGAGAACAGAGGAGAATATAAAGCAGTGTCTGCAGACCACAGGTTGACATCATCCTCCGACCTGCAGGGATGTCATCTGTCCTGTATTGGAATAAACTCTTTCGCACCAATCTCTGACCATCTCTGTGAAACCTTTGTATTCTAAGTCTATTTTTGTCAATAATCAAAATGTTGGTAAGAGTTCAAACTTTCTTATCTGGCCCAAGTCTTGAATTTTTTACACGACATTAATACCTAATGCAAAAATTAAGCTCTACAACACATTTAAATGTATTTATCCATTTTTAATTAAGCACAGTCAGACACCATGTGAGACACTCAGGCTTTAATTGATGTTTTATAGAAACTGAACAAAAACTGTACAACAGAAGTAAGTCAACATATTGGACAAGTGACCTTAAATGAAACCAAGTCAATCAACACAGAGACATGAGGAAACTGTCAGGTACCTTTTATGAATTTACCACAAAACTACAGGTTTAAATTACTGGATCAAAGGTGGGATAAGCGATTCTTGAGAAACTCAATTCCATGAGAAATACCATAATATCGAGCAAACAACGACACAGCAAGTAAACATTATAACGTTAGCTCAGAGAGGACAAGACTGTCCCAGAGCCAGCACACCAGCTCCAGACAGTGAAACTAACAACTCGACATGTATTGGATTAGAATCACTTACCCCACCTTTAATGTGTGATTACATGTAAAAAACATACCTCTGCCTGTCCTGCATGTGTAGAAACTATGAGCATTTCTGATACATCTTCAAAGAAGAAACACAAAGACATCCTATAATGTAGATTCATAATAACCTTCACAAGTAAATTATTTCACATAAAAATTCTCTCCAAGACTAGAAACAATAACAAAATGTCTTTATATTGTCATCGAGAGACTAAATGTTTGCTAGTGTTGGTCTAGCAGTTAAGAAAACACACTCACATAGTTTAGTTCTGAGACATCGGATCTGACAGTTCTGTAAATTTGCACTTGCATGGCTAATTAAAGCTAAAGTGGTTGTTGACACTTCTGATCTTTTTACATCATGTGCAACATTAAATTCTTAGCTTCATTTATACAATTTTAAAACAGTTAATGAGCTCCCACTGTAACAGTTTAATCTTAAAAAAGGAGCTAGATGTTGCTTATTACAGTCCTGCAGCAGCACAAGATACTGAATTGGTTTCATTTTTGTGTTTGATTTACTGTTTGCTGTTGAGACGCAATAAAGATTTCAACAAATATAACAAAAAATGCTTCTGAGGTAAATACCTACCCTAGCTCCAAAGTTTTACGCTAATATGTAACTCTTACCGACTTCATGATGAAACTCCGTTCATCTTTGTTTTTACAGAATACAACCGATGCTGTAACTGTGCAACTGTGGGCAGAGCAAGGCACCAAAACTGCGAAGTTGGAGGGAGTTGCCAATGGGCAAATCATGCTAAAATGTTTATTATTAGGTATCATGGCAGATTTATAAGTAATTTTAATTAATTAATTTTTATTTACATGGAACAAGGTTACAGACCTCAATTAGCCACTATGAACATTGTGTGGTGATAATGGCGAATAGCTGTCTCTGCAGTGATTCGTGAAGCCGTTTCTCTTGTCCACCTTCAGCGTATTCACATTTTTAACAAAACAATACAAAAATAAATCCGTAGTTGAAGTCAGGATCATTCAGAAACAGAGCCTTGAGAAATTTGTGTTGAACGTCTTGATGGTTTCTGTTGAAGCTTCTGGTAATGTTTCTGAAAGAAGAAGTGGGTGAACGATGTAAGTCCAAGTGTGTGTGTTTTAGTGGGTTTCATTTTGTGTATGTCTTTGTGTGTACCTGCAGGTTGTCGTAGTGTCTCTGGCTGCTGCAGTGGAGGTCCTTTGCGGTGCTCTCGTTCAGGTAGAAAACAGAGCAGAGATTACAGAAAAAACCTGATTTGGGGACCACGAAGTTCTGACCTGAAGAGGGAGATGGTGAAAGTGAAGTTAAACAGGAGGAAAACGTGTGACAAAACTTTTACGCCGCTGGTTGTGTGAGCGCTGTGTGTGTTCGTGTCTCTCACCGAGGGGGTTGTTGGGTTTAAATGCCGGCAGTTTGAAGTCGGCAGAGACACAAGGGGACTGAGAACGAGATCGTTTTGCTTCAGTTCCAATGAGCTCCCTCCTCTGCTTACTCACAGCTAAAGAAGGAAAAAACAATCTGTAAGTCATTTCAGTGTTTTTTTTCATCTGCACTGCAAAGAAGAAACAATTACTTGTGTAATCTGCAACAATTTTGAATTCATATTTCAAGAAAAGTTAACCAATTCCAGCTTCTAAAATTTTTAAATGGCAGGAAAAAGTCTGGTCTTTGTAAATACTATTATAAAGAGTACAGCCTAAACATGCTTTAACCCTGAGATAACTTCTGTTATGATTTGGCGCTACATAAATAAATAAAATAAAATTTTTGTGACAAAATAAGCAATTTTTAGATTTCAAGTTGAATTCATAGCCATTTTATATACTAAATACATCTATAATGAAAACATTCTTTTTGCTTAAAGTCCATCCTTTCAGCTCTCTGTACCTTTAATGTCCACCCTGCTCCGTCCTTCCTTCTCCTCTTCTCCTGCCTCCACACATCCTTCCAGGTTCTTAGGGTTCTCCGGCTGAGGCTCCTGCCCAGCAGAGGCGGCAGGGGCAGCGTCAACGTCGGCTCGGCCCGCTGCTTCCACCTCTGCCTCAGTCTTCTGAATCTCTGGCTGACCGTCACTCGACAACGTGGACAGATCTTTGTCCAATGAGGCGTCGAGTGACGTGGGAGGCAGTACATCAGCTTCAGCTGGTTCCTTTTCTTCTTCTTCTCTCTCGTCTTTTGTGCCCACTTTTTTCCCTCTGGTAGATTTTCTCACTGTGGTAAAAGACAATGAATTGGCTGAGCGATTTTCTCTTAATTAAGGTTCATGCTTTAGACGTCCATCATTTGAAATCAGTAAAATCAAAAATGATTGTCAAAATTATATTATAGATTTTGGGTAATGACATGATTGTATAAAACAATGTTTCCCAAACTTAGGGTCGGGACCCAAAATGGGTCACAGGCCCATTTTTATTGCCAATTGTCAGAGTGAAATTCTTAATGTTACAATATTTAAATATGTGAATGATCGTCTGTTCAGCTATGGTTTAGCTCAGATGCTGTGTCAGGGTTCTCTTTAAGTCTCTCTAGTTTATAGATGCTTTAATGTGTAACATGAGGAGAAGTGCTCAGTAATGAGGAGTTGGTTTTAAAATGAATAAATTGGACAGGTTTCTCAGCGTTTCCTCTATACGCAATCACGACCGCCAATACTAAAATTTCCCTCGATCATTAAACTATGCGCTACAAATGTTTTCACTCAAATATTCTGGCAGTAAATGTACGGTGTCTGTTACAGTGTGTCAGCTTCTCAAGACCAAGAAAAGTCTGTTGTTTCCCACCTGCTGTAAAAGTGAAGCCAGTTAGCGCTAAGTTAGCTAACATCTCCCCTCCCCTTCAGACTGCGCAGCTGAGCAGGAAAGCTTCTACAGCAGCTACATAGCTGCTATGAAACTTAACATTAGCTCAATTTATAGAAAGTAACTGGAAGATGTATTTTATTACTGCCTACTTGTCCAATGTTGAGAACATCAGGTACAAACTTGACGTAGCCTGAAGCTCTGTCCTGTACAGACTGATGAAATTATTTTTCAGTCTGAAAAAGTGGTTTTGGAAAAGAAAGGATGGAGGTGACTGGAGGAGCTGAGGTTAGTAAAGATAATTAGTGATGCAAACTTTTACGCTAATGAGGAGACGTTTCTTTTTTGGATTTTAATGTGCAAATAAAAAGCACCTCAGAAGGGAGGGGGTTTTTCATGTTGCCTATTTTTTTTATATTAAAAGGTCTACAGATAAATGTCAGAAGCTGTAAAATGAAGACGCAAAAGGCAAACATGAACAGTCGTATCTATAATGATGAGGTCATATTAACAGGGTTTTCCTGCCGTTAAGGCTTAGGGGTGATGCCCAGAACATGCTGTGCCATCAATGTAAAATCACTGTGGAGCAACAGAACCAACCAAATTACTTTATCCAGATCTAAAGGTTGTAGTTCCTCAGTAGACTGATCTTTGGGTGTTGTTTATTTATTATCTGCTCTAGCTTTTCCAACTATTTGTTCAGAAAATAATGTTTTTTGTGAAATTGTGAAAATAATGGCCCAATACGATGTGAAATTACATATTTTTCATTGGAAAACAAAAATTTTCTGTTTGTCCTCCCCCCGCTGCTGAAAAAAATCCTAGAGGAAACACTGTATCTCCAAACGAAAAATTAGCTGAATCTGTGGAAAGTCCCATTTTTTTGTTTTGCAAAGAAGAATCTTTAAAGATGTGTTGATTCCATTTGGCACAACATACTATAGCCCCTTTTCCACTGCACGGTACCAGCTCCACTCGACTTTTTTTGGTTTTCCAAAAAACACAGCTGGAAGGTTTTCATACCGCTTATCTGATTTTACATTCTGAGTAATGTTGAAACATTTTAACTTAAATCAAGAGACAGCTGTGTTTGGGTCGCTGGTGTGTGTGTGTCACATTGAAAATTACGTTGCAGCAGTTGTGTGTGGCATCGCCTGACGACCAGGGGTACCATCTCTGGGCACTATCTGCAATGGAAAACTGAGCACGGCCAAACTGAGTTAAGCCGAGTCGAGCTGGTACTGGTAATGGAAAAACAGCATATCCGACTGTAGCATACCTGAAAAACCAATTCATAAATACATTTTATATACATGGCTTGTTTTGCCCTTTATGTGTAGTTTGTAAGTGCAGATGTACTTTTGTAAATTTGGGTCCCAGGGAGATTTTTCTTGTGGTTCTTGAGCTAAAAACGTTTGGAAGCCAGTAGTATAAAAGATATGGATGTGTGTGTTACCAGGGGTCTGTCTGCTTCTCTTCTTGGTTCGGCCTCTTGTCCTGGGTGTTACCACTTTCTTTTCCTCCTCCTCATCCAGCTCAACCTCTCCCACCTCGTCTACGGTCACAAAATTCATGCTTTCCTCTAAAACAGGACAAAAAAAAAAATAATAATAATAATAATTCAGACAAACGTTAACAAAACACTTGTTTACAAGCAATTTCCTGCAGAAATATTTTAGTGATGGAAAGCAAAGTGAAAATCACAGTTTTCTTGTGGGTATAATGCACATATACCAGTTTAAGTGTACCGTACTATACAAAGGGAAGAGCACACACCTGTGTCATCATCGTGTTTGCGTTTAACAGATCTTGAGGTTTTCTCAGCTTGCTCTTCGTCCGGCTTCTTTTCCTCATCACCGCCTGCTTCATCTAAAGTCACCAAAGTCTAAAAACAGATGCAACACACATTTAGCATCAGTGTTTCTGTATCGGTTTTCTACATTTTTGTTTTACTGTGCTTCACCCTAATTTTCCTATGGAAGAAAATAAAACTCACATGTGTTGAAATCTTATCGTAACCTTTACCTCTGGGTTTAAGGAGTCCACTGATTCGTCCTCCTGGCTGAGTGGGCGGGTCTCCAGCATCCTTTGCTCGACCTTCCCCTCCTCCTCCTCTTCTACAAACTCATCCAGAGTGACGAGTGCTTGCATGTCTCCCTCCGTGACCGCCCTGTCCCACTCTTGGCTCTCCAGCGCCCTTTCCTCTCCAGCCTCATCTGCTCCCACCTCATCCAGAGTCACTAGCTCCTGGGCATCTACATCCACTCTCTCCTCATTTCCCCTCCCCCTCTGCTTCGTCCTCCTCGTACCTCCCCCACTGCCGCCTCCTCCTCTGCTGCTGCTGTTACTCCGACTCCTTCGCTCCCTCTCCTCTCTCTCTCTGGTTCTCCTCTCCTCCCTCCTCCTGGCTTCTCGCTCTTTGGCAAACTGCCTCTCTTTTGTGGAGGCTTGCCTCTTCCTCAGTTCTTCCTCCTCGGCCGTGTCGTCAGGGTAATCCTCCTCCTCCTCGCTCACTTCATCTAGGTTCCCTAGAGTGCTTGTTTCTGCCGTTGTGTCGTTTTTCTCAGGTGGTTTTTGTTCCTCTTGCCGTGTCGCAGTATCACTTTGGGACTTGGTTGTTGATTTGTCCTCTTTCTTAATGTCTGTTTTGAGAGTGCTTTCCTCATTTCTTGTAGCAGACCCTTCTGCAGCAGATGGAACATCATTTAGCTCCTCTAAATCATCAACTATCTCGTACAGACATTTTTCAGAGGCTTTCACAACTGTGGTACCACATGTTGGTGTACCTTCTTTTTCAGCTGATGCCTCTTCTTTTGTAGGAGTCTCATCTTTTATCGCACTATTTTCCTTCCCTCTATCAGATCCACCTGTTGCTGTCAGCTCTTCTTGAACTTCGTCTTCCAGGGAATCTATGATCTGGTACATAGGCTCTTCCTCTTCCTCCTCCTCATTTTTGGGGGATCCTGCAAGAGATGAATTTTTTATATTTTGCTTGTCACTGTTTTTAGAAGTGTTCTCCTCTCTCGCACTCTCAGACTGTCCTGTTGGAGGCTGATCATCAACGGTCTCGTCCTCCACAGAATCAACAATCTGATACACTGCCTCTTCTTCCTCAGCCACTTTTTCGGATGCGTCTTGGTCACCCTTCAATGTTACTTTGTCTTTTTTTGTTGTTTTAACCGGTTTCTTTGGTCTTCCCCTCTTTCCTTTTCCTGCTGTGGCGGGCCGATCATGCTTAACAACCTCTTCCTCCATACAGGATATTTCGCAGGTAGCGTCCTCACTTAACTCTCTTGCAACAATGTCCTTCTTCTTTGTTGGTGTGCTCTCTTCTGGAGGAACTTTCGACTCTCTCTTTGGTGTTTTTTCCCTGTTTCGTTCCTGTGACTCTCTGGCAGGAGTGTGCCTCCTTCTCGTTGGCGTGTCCCCTTTTTGTGTTCTCTCATTCGAAGCATCTTTCTTAGTTGTTCTTTCCCTTTTTCCTCTGGTAGATCTTGTCGTGATTGTGGTTTCGTCATCGGCAGTATCGTCCTCCACAGAGTCTAGAATCTTGTACGTATCCTGCTCGGGCTTTTCAGACACTTCTGTGAGATTCAATGTAATTTTATCCTCTTTTTTTCCTCTAGTACTTCTTCTTCTACCTGACCTTTCTGTAGCAGTAGCATCTTCAACCGGTTCGTCTTCAACAGAATCTACTACCTCATAAACCACCTCCTCAGTGACCTCTTTGTCTTTTTTAGAAACCCCAGCACTGGTGCCCATCTTATTTCGTGTCTCATATTTTTTAACTACCTTGTCCTTAGATTTCTCTTTTTCTTCACTTTTGGATGCAGAGGTTGCAGGGCCACTCCTCTTTGATGGTCTCTCATCTTTTCTAGAAGTTGCTTCCTCTTTCTTGGTGCTTTTTGCCTTGTTATCAATCTCTGACTCGACCTCTCTAGTTATCGGCTGATCTTCCATCGAATCAATTACCTGATATGCGTCTTCCTCTATGGGCCCAGTGTCTTCTTTAGGTATCTGCTCACTGGGATCTTCAAGTTTGTTGTCTTCTGTAGCAGTTTGATCATTAATTGAATCCAACATCTCAAAGGTTTCTTCTTCAGTAACATCAGTGGCAGGGCCTTTTAAATTGTCTTTGCTGTCGCATTCTTGAAGAGGCTGGTCTTCATTTGGGATTCGGCCATCAGGATTTTCCACATCTTTGGAGGTTTTAGAGGATTCTGCTGAAAGTGTTTTAACTTTGACCTCTTCCTCTTTTTGTTCTTTCTTCTTCCCATCTCCCTTTGGACCTTGTTTGCTACCTGTAACTAACACTTGGAATTGGTCTTTGTTATCTGTCTCTTTACCAACTGCATCTTTAACGGCATCATCAGATTTGTCGACTACTGGATTTGCATCCTCCTCAGACAGTTGTTTTACTGTGGAACCGTCATCTTGGACCAGGCGACTGTCCTCTTGACCTGCAGCTGCTTGGTCTTCAGTAACACTGTCTAGCACTTGTAAAGAACTGGTCATTTCCATTTCACTGTCCTCCTCTAAGTGGAATATGCCTTTTTCCTCATGCAAAGTCTGGCTTCCCTCAGGTCCAGTTAGCTGGGTTTCAGAGCTGCCATGTTGGTCCCCATCATCCATCTGTTCATCTGTTTGATCATCGAGTGAATCAAGGATTTGGAAATTTTCTCTATCGTCCTCCTCCACCTCTGAATGTTTGTCAACATCTTCTTTCCCTTCCTGTTTCCTTGTCTTCTGGTCTTTGAGAGTGTTCACATTACAATCAGTACCCAGACTCTGGGCTTGGCTCAACTCTACCTCATGTCCCTGTGGAGGTGGACGCATCTCTGATGATGATTCTATTTTTGTCTGTGACTCACCAGTTTTTGCAGCAATGCCCTCTGCTGACACTTTGTGGTCAGACTTTGCCACTGCGCTCTCTGTGTCTTGTGTTTCTTCTCTAAGAGGCTCTAGATGAGTTTCCATTGATCCATCGACAGTTACTGCTGCTGTTATTTTTTCCCTTTCACGTGCAGCAGAAGATGAGCGGGTACTACGACCAGAGGATGCGGTATTTGATGCTTTAGCTGGAGATTTTGTCCTGCTCTGTTGTGTTTTCTGGCCAGGGGAGGAAGGGGTTTCAGTAGACAGCGAAGAAGAGGAGGCCTTACTGACACTGGCAGAGCACGAGGGTTTGGTAGGGGATTTGGTGGACTCAGATGAGTCCTTGGACTTGGACATAGAGCTTGATTTAGAAGAGCTTGAGCCTTTAGTCGACTTGGATGAGGAAGAGGCTGAGCTCTTAGAGTCTTTTGAAGATCTTGTTGAGGTCCGTTTGCCAGCGGACGACACACCAGAGCTTTGCTTTTCTCTCGCTTTGGAGGATTGCTTGGATGAGGAGGGTGTATTAGGCTCGGGGGTTTTGTCTTCTACATCATCACCAACTTCATCAACAGTGACAAAGTCATCCATGTTGAAATTTTGTTCATCAAAAAGATAGGCATCTGAAGAAACTTTGTCATCTGTAAAATCATCCTGACCCTGTTTGGAGACATAAGATGGACTCAATCATTGGAAAAAATGAGTAGCACATTTGTGTGAATAAAAACAGCCATTTACCATTCTTTGTGGGGCGTCTTCAGCTGTTATGTTGCTTGTGTTGCTTTTGCTGGGGCTCTAAAGAAAATGTGAAATATGACATAAATAAGGAGAGATTCATTAGGCAGGGTTGAGGAGTAACGACACGGACATGACCAATTATAATCACCATCATTTCAAAAATTCATGACACATTTCCTGACTGTGCAACCTTTCCATATGCTACAACAACCAGCTGCATTTAAAACATTTTGGTTACACTTTTCCAAACTAATTATATTTTCCTCAAAACATTTCAGATACCTTAACTTTTGCAGTGTTTTTCAACCACTGGAACCATGAATGGAATATGGGGAATGAGGGATTTTCAGACATTTTGACAACTGCAATCCATCATGGCTTCACTCCATAAAAACCAACAAATTCAATACCAATACCTTACCTTGTTTTTTAACGAACACATAAATGATGCTGTGCCTTGATATCATGTTAGTAAACTGTAATGACCATAAGTCATTGGACCAATGATGAGGCACATTCAGTACCATTCATAAAAATGTTGTCTCTGCATTGCACCCCCCCCCCCACACACACACACACAGCAATAATCAACTGTTTTATCGGTTTCTCACACTCAGATACTAATTAAATCATATGGCTGGTGTTGTTCCGTACTATGTTAATGTTTATTATTTTGTTGAAAATATGAAAAAATACAGTTCAGAAAATAATGTTTGCTATCGCCAAATGTTGAGTGAGATTTAAAGCCAGGCCTCACCTCCTCCTTCTCACTCTGGGATCTGCTCTCTCGGGTGAGTCTGTGCTGGCGAACTGCTGCCGTGAGGACCTTTAAAATGTCCGCGTTAATCTCAGGAAGTTCTGCAACATTTCCTTCAGTCACGAGTGCTGTGGCTGAGGGTGCAGTGCTGGAAGCAGCACGGTCTGTGTTTCCACTGCTGATTATAGAGATAGCAGTAACCGGTTTCCCACCGTCGTCCTCCATTGCTGCGTCACTTGCGGCCGTAGCACTTGGTCCTGCTGTGAGGGCCTCAGAAACCGTGGATCCATCCGGACCACTGGTTTGAAGAGTAGCTTGTTCTGGCATGAGCAATGCTACAGAGTGGCCAGGGCTCTGAGCGGCAGGGGCTGCATTTCCACTACTGACTTTAGAGGTAGAGGTCACATCAGTAGTGGAGACTGAAGTCGTTAGTGACCCCTCTTCCTTCTTTACATCTACATTTGCTTCTGAACATACAGTGGAGTCCATGGCGATATCAGTTTCTGGTTTCTCACTGTCCTCCTCCATTGCTGCATCACTTGCGACCATAGCACTCGGTCCTGCTGTGATGGGCTCAGAAATAGTGGATCCATTAGGGCCACTCTGAATTTGGCATTTCACACCTGGGGGCTTGGCTTCAACACCGATGGTGTCCTGTTCAAAGTTAATTGTGATCTCCCCAGAATCCTGTAGACGCTGTTTTAGGGTCTTCAAACTAAAATTAAAAACAGAAAAGGATTGTTCTTTAACAAAGTTATTTTTTAATTAAGTACAAAATAGAAGTTCTCTTCAGTGTCCCTGAGTTAATTGTTTAGTTACCTCTTGGTTTATGACAAAACATCAGTTTTTTAATATCAAAACCCTTCAGGGCAACAACTAACAATTATTTTCATTATAAATTAATTCCGCCATGTTCAACCATCAGTTTTTCCAATAAAAAATATAGTTGCCAAGAAATTTTCTTTAGATCGACCAAGGTAGTCGATTAATAGCTTTAAATATCAATCAATATTTTTCATGACTCATCTTGAACTCGTTGGACATGCCCTAAATGCGCACACCATCTCTCTAAATGGGGATACGCTTCACCCCATTTCACCCATCCACAACCAATCTGCTATTAATCACTGTTAATTTTTATTACCAGGCCTTCGCTGGATATACATAAATGTGACCTGCTCATCACTACAACCCACCAATGCAGGCACATCTTAATATTTGAATTATGCACCCTTTAAATAGCTGGTAAATTCTGCGCTTTTGACTTTAGACCAGGTTTTTGTTTATCAATGGCGCAAATGCTTTCTGCTGCCTCAACATAGCAATGCCCCAATAATGTTCCTCGACACATCTCATTTTAGCATCACCACTCCAACAGGCACCAAGATGGGCGCAAGAACATCCGCAACTTACACCACATGAGCACTGGGCATGAAAATGACAACTGCGTCAGTCGGAAAATAGCATTGACACTTGATCTGTGCTTTGTGCCGGCTTCAGACAGGGCTAGTTGGCTCTCTCTTAACAGGACAATAATCAATTACAAAGTGGTATACTCACGTCTCAAAACGTTTAACTTTACTCCTGGAGAGAGAAAAAAGAAGGAGTTTGTCAGTTTAAGTGTGAGAATGGGAGATTAAAAAAAAAAAATCATCAAAATTTACAGAAGCTACCTGTTTTCATCAAGACAGATGTGAGAAATTGTGAAACTAATTCAACCCCATTTCATACCCCTCACTTTTTTAAGGACACATGCATGCATACCAAGCTGTGCGCCTATTAAAAGAGTCCGGTGAGAAAGTGTTGTATTTCTCCACCACCTGTGTTACACCGCTGGAGTCAGCCATCTCAATGCAGATCTGAGGTAGAACGACAGTCGTGGACAAAAAGAGAGAAAAGACAGAGGGGAGGGAGAGATGCAAGGAAATTATTATAATGGACATTTTCCTATATGTTCTGATATTGTTCAAACAAAACAATTAACCAAAAATAATCATTTGTTGCAGGCCAATGTCTTTCATTGATGCTAAGTACTACAATACAGAGTGGACCCTTTTTTAAAGAAACCCTTCTTATGTAAAGACTTACACACCTGTCTCACACTGTATTCAAGGCAGGCCACTCGACTGAGTCTTTCTGTAAGAGGAATTTTACCCTGCCTCGCTGTCCACCACCCTCCAAGAACTAGAACTCTCAGGCATCATACCCAGCCAAAATCGAATCCGTGTCTGAACCTTTTAGCCGCACTATTGGAGTCCCTCAGGGCTCTGTTCCGGGTCCCCACCCTTTTCTCTTCACACCAAGTCAGTTGGCTCTGTTATTCACTCACATGGCGTTTGCTGCCACAGTTATACAGATAATACTCAACTTATTATTTCTTTTCCTCATTCTGAAACTCAGGTGGTAACACAAATCTCTACTGATGTCAGGCTAACATCTCTCAGTGGATGTCTGGAAGTTGATCACCTGAAACTCAACCTTGACTAGACCGAGCTTCTCTTCCTTCCAGGGAAAGTGTCTCCAGTCCACAGCATCTTACCACTGAGAACTCCATGAACGACCAGATGTGTTTCTGTGCCAACATCGCCGGGACAACTTGCCCATGCAGATTAACTCTTCACAACATCAGGCCAAAATAAGGACCGTTTGCTGTACATGCTCCACAGTGATGAAACAAGCTCCCCCCATCAATATCCGAAGCTATACACATCTTCTATCACAGACTGAAACCTCATCTGTTTAGACTACCCATTATGAGTCGATGAGCTTACTAGCTACTGTAACAGCAGTGACTGAAACTCAGAGGATTGAACAGCCTTCTGCAGCATAATCCCACTTTCAGTGTATAGATATATAAAATAAGACAATTTATACTTTCTAAGGCCTTTTCTGAAAAAAATTCAATGCTTTAAGACCTGCAGATACAGTGACATGGCAGTTCGCTCAACACTTAAATATGAGAAGTGCAGGTTTGTGTGTTTTGTACCCTGTTAGCGAGCGGCAGGAAGCTGACAATGGGTGCGATGGAAGCCACCACTTCCATCACTATCTTGATGATGGCTGCAGACGTCTCAGAAATCTCCACACTGAGCAACCGCTCCTCCAGAGACTTTGGCTCTGGAACTCCCTGAGGAGAAGGAAATGGTTGGTGTTAAGGACCAGAGATCCAAAGATAGCTGCTTCCACTTGACAAAAGATTTAAATACGTGATTAATGACTTACAGCGTTGCTCCAGTTCATCAGACTTCTGTACATCATGACCTGTAAAAAAAGAAGAAAGAAGTCACGCTTGGCATATATGTCACCTATACAAATTTTATCTTCATTTTTTATATTTTGTATTTCACTAAGATTTTTTCTGTAAATTGTGCCTACATTTTTGCATTTCTTCCTTATAAAGATTCTACAGAAGGAATTACAGTATTTCCAGTATAAACAGCAACTTCTTAATTCCTGTCTACTGCTGAAAGTAAATTTTCTATCCCATCCTGACATAAAGTTACAGCACCAAGTGCGACCTTTAGTGTTCATACCTCGCTGGATTCGGGATTTATCTGTTGCAAGACGAAGTGTACACTGAGCTTGGAGCCTTTGACAGAAACTGGAGTTGTGAGGTGATCTCGGACAAAACCGCAGCACGTAGTCCAATCAGCGAAGAACACAAAAGCCTGGGGGTGAACAGGGGAAAGATAGGAAAGGAAAACAATTAAATTCAAACAACACAGCTCCATTTAACTAATAAAATTTTAGTCACACTAGTGTTTTGTGGCTGTAAAATTGTGTTGTTTCTACTCCTTACCCTCCTCTGCAGCGATAAGACGGTCACATTGTAGTACAGGGAGCGAAGGTTCTGTTTGGGGAAATACCTCCATACCAGCTTGGCCACATCCTCGTGCTGGTAGTTTCCCTCTGGCAAACCGGTCAACATGATTGTGGGGAACTTGGAACCACTGGCCTTCTAGAAAACACAATGTCCAAAATTTAATTCATGTATCGACGCTGATTCAACTTTATGATACATTCTGATGTCAGAGTAGATTAGAATTTGAGCAAAAACACCAAAGATTATATTTCAGAATGTAATGTAGGAAAAAATATGAATAAGAAGTGTAGTTATGGAAAGAAACAGGCTTACCTCAATGTCGTCCTGTCCTCTGACTGTCAGGTAATCTTGGAGTTACAGATGAACAGATGCAAACAGTCACCTTTACTGAATAAGTTAACATGGAACATTTGGCAGTTTCAAATGAAGAATCAATAAACTCTCTCTTACCTGGGATGATGAACCAAGGAAACATGGTAGGGAACAGGAAGGGCCTAGTTCTCATCGTGACCCAAAATGGTGAAATGCTGTCTTGTGGAATGTTTTTTATTGGCGGGACAGTTGCCTTGGCAACAACATCCTTGCTGTCCGGCAGAGCTTTCTCAGGAAGTTTTGCTGCTGCACAAACAAAAGACAAGTCACGTGTCATGTTTGAATATATTTGAGGAGTGGAACAGTTGCACACAGCAGCTGTGTGTTTTATTCTATACTAATTATAGTTTTGTTTTTTTATGGTCTTTATTATAAAATGTCATCAGATGCAGTAACTAGCTGCCCAGGCTGTTTCTCCAAGAAGTTTCTGAATCTGGTGAAGACTGTCCAAAACAAAGACAACATTAGGCATGACATTCAGTAATGGGACAGGGTAAAATAAGATACACTATACTGCCAAAAGTCAGAGACCTGACCATCCCACCTATATGAGCTTGCTGGACATCCCATTATAAAAGCATGCACATTAATAGTGAGCCGAATTGCCCTTTGCGGCTAGAACAGCCGCCACTCTTCTGAAATTGTGTCTGTGGGAATGTGTGTCCATTAAGTCAAAGGAGCATTTGTGAAGTCAGGCACTGATGTTGGACGACAATGCCTGCTTGCATTCAATGTTGAAATTCCTACCAAAGGTGTTCAATGGGGTTGAGGTCAGGGCTCTGTGCAGGCCAATCAAGTTTATCCACACCAAACTCGTCTAATCATGTCGTTCTGTACCTCGTATTGTGAACAGTGGTGTAGTCATGCTGGTACAGCAAGGGGCCTTCCCCAAACTGATGCTACAAATCTTGAAGCACCCAATTAACTATAATGTCTTTGGATCCTGTAGCATTAATACATTTCACTGGAATTAAGGGGCCTAACCCTGAAAAATAGCCCCAGACTATGTTCCCTTCTCTACCAAACTTTACAGTAGGTTCTATGCATTCTGGTAAGCAGTGTTCTTCTGGCATCCGCCAAACCCAGATTTGTCCATCACACTGCCAGATAGTGAAGTGTGATTGATCAATCCAAAGAACACGCATGCAGCTGCTCAGCCATGGAAAGCTTTTTCATGATTCTCCTGGCTGAGAATTCTTAATGTTTGTCTATGGAGATATATGGTTGTGTGCTTTTTCTTTTACGCGCCTGATGGCAATGGGTGTGATGGACAAACCTGAACTCAATAATTAGTAGGGTGTTCACTGATTTTTGGTCTTTAGTGTACGTTACACTTCAGTTATTCATTTCTACCCTTCCTCTTCAAACTTATTTTAGAAGCATGACTTGCTTATCTCAGCTGTACTGAAGACACTGGGTCTGTCCTGTCTGCTATTCTATACATGCACAGTCTGTGTTTTTCCAAAGACAGAGACTTACGTGGTGATTTACAGCCCGTGTTTGGTATTTTCAGCCTGTGGACTTCGTGGCTAGGTGCTTCTTTCAGGAGACTGTGCCAAACTCCAAAATGATCAGCATCGCAAACAGTCTCAAACTCTATGAATAGCTGAAACACACACACACACACACACACACACGAGACAGGTAAGTAACAAGAAGTCTTTTTTAAAGCCACATAAAGACCTTATATTTGTATGTGTGTGTTTATACCTTGTTGAGGAGAGGCAGGTAGTTCTTGACAGAACTGACTTTTTTCAAAGCTTCCCTCAAGTCCCTGGTCTCACTCTGTGATATGTTCTTGATGAAGACTGTTCTCTGTCCTTCATCTTGCACAGGCTGCATCAAGAACAGAAACTCATGATCCAAACCAAAACATTAATAAAAGACAACCGCGCTCCAAGTTGCGACAAATGAATTTTCTTATGAATTATTATGAATTATCTTCAAAGTAAAAGACAATTTCTTGACGGGAGATGTCTGTACTTCCTCGCCGTTTTACATCATTGGGGATAGTTTCCAGATTTTATCAAGTTACATAAATATTTTGGTGAGACAAACTCAGGAATTAAAATGCCCCCACAAATTTGAACTAAGACTAGAGGGGATGGTTTTTTTTTTTTTACTTAACAATATATCTCAAAGCAAAAAGTTGTATTTAGAACTTCTTTTAAAGTCCAAGTGTAAAAAAAGGGACAGATTTCTTTTACCAACAAAACTTGAAACTGTTTACAAATGAGGAGGAATTGTGTGCGAGTGTGTATGTGTGGTTTGACTTAGGCTACCTTCAGGGACACATTTTAGACTGAAGACCACACTTGACAGTTAGGAAAAAGCTGATTTTTGGTTCAATCATTAAGGTTAGGGTTAAGGAAAGGTTAGGTAGTGTTTATGGTTAAATCTACATAAGTAAACTTGTGTTGTGTGTGTGTGCTACTTACAGACTTCATCAGCCTCATCAGTGATTTATAAAATCCGAGCTAAAACAGAAACATCGGAGTAGGCAGTGTTAAAATGCGAAGATACTTTTCCACAATACATCACAATCTAGCTACAATCTGGGTGAAAAGTTTTAACCAATCTGCTCCTCTAAATAAATATCAATGCTTTTATTGTAAAAAATTTTAAGGTTGAGGTTGAATACATTCAACATCTATAAAAATCTGTCACCCAAAAACAGTGTCATGTATGTACTTACGTGCGTCATCGCAATGCCACCTGCTACTGGCTGTACAGAGAGTTTACACTTTTGAAAAATAATGTGATTTTTTGTGACAGAGGTAATTGTGTTCTGCACATTCTCCACTGTTGGCATCTGGACGAAGGCCTGAGGGGAAAACCAGAACCAAAAATGTATTACTACTTTTAAGTACTTTTTATATAACATTTTACATCTTTCAATGTGGTTAAAATCAGTCTCTTACAGGCATCAACAGTGTATTCTATCTATCTCATCTTGAATTTAGAAAAAAACAACAACAAAACAGAGACCATTTTTCTCAGAATTAGTCCCTCAGATCAAAGACTAAAAAGCAACAGCATAAACATGGGATTAATAAACCGAACCAGCGCAGACTTATAACATGGTGCCTACCATGCGCGTCTGAGGAATAACATAGATGGTGTCATCTTTATATTGAAACCCAAATGGAATGAACAGTTCTGCAATGTCATCCTCTGTGTAGCAGCCATCGTGATACCTCGGCAGTCCATATATGTACAACAGCTTCTTATCTGGAATATACTGGAAAAATGAAGGCAAAGAAAGAAAGAGAGGGGAGAATAAGGTAGTAATGGTTTAAGTTAGTTTGCAATTACAGAGTAAGACACTCTTTGCTCCGTACATATTATCAACACAAGTATGCTATAACAACTGTTGATCTGGACAATACTGGTTACAACAAGGTTTCTGCAGAGTGGGTTGGATTGGCTAAATTTTTAAGACTTTGTAAGACCTTTTTATGGGCTGACCCCAAATAGTCGAAGAGGTAGACTCGACAATCCTGATTCAACTATGTAAATCCTTAGTCAGGGAAAGCCCTGCCTTTATTACCACCCCAGAGAATTAAATTTAATATCTGTTTCATACAGGTCCAAGTATGATAGTGGGATGGCAAACCAGCAGGGTTGATATGGCCTTTGTTCAGAACTTTCCAGCAGTATAATAATCATTTTTAAGATTATAATTTAAGAAGTTCAGTGGACCTGGATAAGCAGAATAAAATGGACAGATGAACAACCCAAACACGACAACAAAAGGGGTCTCTCCAGCACAATTGGCTGTCGCTACAATCCCACTCTAGCTGTGCAACCGAATAAAATGCATTTTAAGACATTTCAAAATCTGCAGAAAACCTTTCATTTGGTACAAATAGGGCAAAAATGGAAAATGAGATGCTAACTTACATTTGGCGAGAAGTACATCTTCATCCTGACGCACACTGTGAATGAGAAAGTAAAGAAAATTTAGTTTTTAAAGACAGATAGATAATAATACTAATAATAATCTTTATTTGTAGAGCACTTTTCAAAAACAAGTTACAAAGTGCTTTAACAAGTGTAAAGACAATAATACCCAAAAAACAATACAAAAACAATACAAGATAAAGAAAAGACTAAAATACATGTTTAAGATAAATATAAAATTAGTAAAAATAGAATAAAATAAAAGGGATAAATACTGATCACGCACAGATTTGTGACAGACCCAGAATCTTTCTTGGATTTCTTACGTATTTTATTTCGACCCAGGTGCTTTTCTACCATCTCCCCAATAGTCAGAGGGGTAACTGCAGTGGAAGACTGTGCCGGTTGCTCCTCGCTCACTGCTGCAGCAGTGGGCTCAGTTGTGACAGATGGGGCAATCTCAATCAAGTTGGCTGAAACATTGCAGACAGCTTCGGATGCCTTCTTGGCTGGTGCATCGGTTTGTGTCTTAGATGCAGTCACAGGATCTTCAAATTTAATCAAGATGAATATCAGCAATTTCAAAGCTCAGCAGCATCTCTGTATCCTCTTTTATATGTATTCTATTATTTTTAATAAATGCCATGAAAAGACTAAAACCACCAATGAATTGATCCTACCAACAAGTATTGCATGTGTAACCCAAGCCTGATAGTATCCTATTCCTCAATAATATAAAATATTACCAACCTTATCCTTAAGAAACTACTGGAAACATCAGGTTTGAGAAATTGCAAACATTTTAAGGCCTCTGAGAGTTCAGTAAAGACCATATTTGTGTGTGCATGCCACATACAACAAACTGTTAGAACTGTTCTTGTAGTTTGATTTCTAATCAAGTTATACTTGCTTTCTTGCTTTTGAGGGTTAGATGACAAGAACCATACCACTCTTAACATTTTGGAAATTGACATATATGCTTGACCATCCAAAAAAGCTCTCCAACATACCTTTCTGCACTGTCTTTATCTCCACCCCTCCACCTGGCAGCTTTGCCTCTACAGCAGCTTCAATTGTGCGTTCTGCAGCCTGCTGTTGCATTTGCGAAGCCTCTGTCTTGGTCTCCGGGCCTTGAGCAGTGGACTCTGGTTCTGATGGGGTGCTTTGCTGGACGAGCGGTAAACCTTCGACAGGGGTTTCTGTTGACTGAGTCACATCTGTACTGCTTGATGGTTGACTCTCACTGGATTTGTCTGCTGAATCTTCTGGTACGGCCTCTGTAGTTGGCTGTTTTTCCCTTTCGCCCTCAGCAGTACATCCAATTTCCATAGGCTCTATTTTAACTGCTGTTAACCCAAGCTGCATCGGTTCATCACCTTTCACCTCAACATCGGCTATGTCAAGTTTTTTCTTAGGTTCAAGAACTGTTGCATTTGCTGTCTCAACAACCTCTGCTGTGTCTTTGGGCTCCACCACCTCTTCTTTAAAAGTTTTGAGTTTTTCAGGTAGAGGTTTTTGTTTGGCGTGACCAGCATCAGGCTGATTTTCTGAAGCTTCTGTCTTTGTCTCCGGTCCTTGAGCGGCGGACTTTGAACTTTTTTGCTTTACCACAGTCTTTTTCACAGCTCCCTTCACGGGCAACTTTCCTGTTTTTGTCGTTTTGGCTAGCTGCTTGGTAGAGATGTTTTTCGCTTTGGAAACCAAGACTTTAGATTTAGTGACAGTCGTGCCTTTAACTGACCCTTTAGCTGCAATTTTCTGAGTGGTAAGTTTGCCTGTTGCAGCTTTTTTGACAACAACCTTTTTAGTGGTGGTTGTGGATGTAGTGGTTTGAGGTGTGGCGTCACTGGACGTGGCAGGTTTTCTGTGAAGAAAATTACATGGATCAAGCAGGAGAAAATGGAGCAATGAAAAGTCAAGGTAATGGTTTGAATGTGTTTGTGTCATTTACTATAAGATAGTACTGTCCTTTAGGTTTAATTCCTGGGATGACTTCTATTCTATGGACACAGTATCTTATACATAATAGCTGTACAGTTTACCCAAATAAAATCTCACTGTATGTAACAATTTTTGGAACATATTAAAGTGACCACTGCATGTACAGTAAATATGCTGAATATTTCAAAGATTCTAATCTGAAAATAAATTTGAAAAGAAAATAGAAAGTTAGCTGAGGACGCAAATTTAAGCACCAACTCAATATTTATAGCATTATATTGACAAAAACAAGATAAACCCCTCCAGCTTCCATCACTGTTAAAAAGCAGGTCTGTGTGAAAGATATCTTACTTTTGAGGAGGATTCTTTTGCTCCTTAGAATCAGTCACCTGTAAACAAACAAATTGAGATTTGTTAATTCAGATTAATCTGATAACTGACATGTGGTGTTACATGTACATTTACCAGGGACAGAGAAAGAAAAACAGAAAAAGTGCAATACCTTTTCTCTGATAACGGTGACTGTTATTCCTTTCACATCGAGGCTCTTTGCGCTCTTCAGTTTGGTAGCGTCTTCCTCTTTCTCAAAACACACGATTGCCTACATGTGCGCACACACACACACCTTTGCATTACTACAACTGTTAGGATCTATTCAACAAATTCACACACGAAACATTGACAGCTCACCAATACATGTCTAAATGGCCAAATCTTTAATTTATGAGGTGTTTCTGAGAGGATATGTTGCATTTTTGCACATGTTAAGTTCTATTTCTAAAGCCAAACATTTATAATAAACCATGAAAACAATCACACAGGATCAGTTATTTGCATCCTTCCAGTTCTGTTTTAGTAGATGTGCAAGCAAATTGTATCCTATTTTTTATATATCTGATGATGAAACCATCAGTCAATTAATTAGACAGGAACAATTTAGTTAAAAAAATCAGTTGTTCCAGCTTTTCACATGTGAATACTTGCTTGTTTTCTTCAGTCTGCTACAATCATGAATTGAATGTCTCTGGGTTTTGGACCATTAGTTTAACAGGTGAACTGGTTAACTGGTGAAACTTGGCGAGGTTGGGTTAATTACATTTATTTTTAACCCATAATACATAGTGCCTTAAGTGTCCCCAGTAGCTGGGGGAAAGTATTTACACACCATGTTCTCTGTCAACATCATCTCTTGGCCTGGATAAAGACTTCTGGACCTGATGGTTTAGGTATTTGACTCCTTTGTTAATCTAACACATCTTTATATTGTATTTTATGAAAAGGCAAAACATACAGGCCTAGATAGCAACACATATTCACTCTTCACTTCCTCTATACATACCTGCAGTCTGGACCGAAACAGTACAACTGACTTGGTTTTTCCAAAGTGCTCCACAGCAACAATCACATCATTGTGAGAGAGAGAACTACGAATCCCTTCGAGTCTCACCATGGTTGGAGGTGAAGGTTTACCAGACTGAATAAAGAGAGAGAGAAAAACACAAACTTAAGACAAAATGTATTGTTGGTCATCATTTACGGACTCCTAAAAACGGCTTCAAGGAAAAAAATGCATCTGTGGTTTAACTGGCCAATCAAACCTTAATGTCATCGACCTTTTGAGATCCATGAAGAATATTTGCTTTGCATGTTGCAATAAAGTATAACTTTCTATTTATCTCTTTGATCAAAATGTTAATGGAAATGGTCTCAATGTAACAAATGAGACAGACGTAAGAGGGGAAAAAGAAACGGTTTACCAGGTAATAGAGTGTTGACAAATTTCCCTGGCACGAGCACACACACACACACACACCAACCTTTGTCTTAGTGGCAGAACTTGCCTCGCTCTTCTGGGGGCTGGGATTTGCTTTGGAGGGCTTTGAAGTCAACTCCTTTGTCTTTGCTGTAGAGAGGGAGGATGAGGAGGAGCCAGTAGAAGGCGATCTCTTTCTTCCTGCAGTGTGTGTAGACGAGGAGGGTTTTCCTCCTTTGGAAGAGGAGGATGAAGAGGACTTCATCTTGGCTAGCTCAGCCAGTAAAGCAGGAGCCAGAGTTTTAACCACGGCCTCCAGGTCAGACTGTTTTGACAGAGACTGGACAGCTAGAGGGACGAAGACAATGAGTGTCAGAGTGTTGTTTTGGTCGCCATTGTAAGATGAAGAAATTTAGAGTTAATTATTATCTTATGGTGATATCAGTTGGCTGAAATGTCAACATTTCCATCTGAACCACAGGAAGGTGCAGTAAAAATTATACACAATACATATTTATAGGCAAAAAAATATCAAAAAATTAATTTGGTAAAGATGACTAGATTTTACTAAGGAAAAGACTTCTGATGTTATTGATCTCATCGTTTAATATTTAGTTTTATTCTACATGTATTTCATGTGCAGATAATTAGACTGTTTAACTTTTTGATGAAATGTCGATAGGAAAATAATTGACAATAAGTCTGACTATCAATTTATCGGGGTTTTTTGTTGTTTTCTGTATGAGAAAAGGCCAACATTTTCTGGGTGCAGCTTCTCAAATGTTAATATTAGCTTGTTTCCGTCATCTGCCACAGTGGTAAACTGAATATGTTTGGGTGCTTAACTGCATTCAGCATCTCACTACTTTAGAAGTGCTGGTAGGCAGATTTGAGAGTGGTATGGTTCTTGTCATCTAACCCACAAAAGCAAGAAACAAGTATTACTTGATTAAGAATCAAACTACAAGAAAGAACAGTTGCATGCACACACAAATATGGTCTTTACTGAACTCTCAGAGGCCTTAAAATGTTTGCAATTTCTCAAACCTGATGTTTCCAGTAGTTTCTTAGCCAGTCTCTCTGCACTGCTCGACTTCTTTCGTTTAGGGGATGAGTCTTCTGTGGACGATCGCCTCTCACGTCTCCTCCTTGGCGGCGATCGTCTCTCGTCACTCCTCCTTGGTGACGATCGTCTCTCACGGCTCCTCCTATGCGGCGATCGTCTCTCGTCACTCCTCCTTGAAGGCGACCGTCTCTCACGGCTCCTCCTTGGCGTCGAACGTCTCTCATCACTCCTTGAAGGTGACCGTCTCTCACGGCTTCTCCTTGGAGATGACCGTCTGTCATCATTCCTCCTTGGTGAGGACCGTCTCTCGTCTCTCCTCCTCGGTGAAGACCGTCTCTCAGGGCTCCTTGAATGTGACCGATAACGGGAGGAGGTCGGGCGGTCATACCATGGGGAGTGAGAACGAGACCGGGACCTGATAATTAAAATAAATAAATCAAACAATTCACACAAGTCTAGATTTCTAGAGGAGAGTGACAAATCTGAAAATGTTTTTATGTTGTTCTGCAGAAAAATGTTTGGGGGGAAGAAGGGGGTCAATTGAACACAGCAATAGTAATCTTGCAACCAAAATTAACTTTTAGTACTAGAGGTCACAGTCAGCGGGAATGGTAGGAAGTTGGTCAAAAAAAGTTTATTTTAATTTGCAGTTGAAAAAAGGTAATACACAACTACAATGTTTTCGCTACACTCAGCATAGGGGCGGCTGTGGCTCAGGAGATAGAGCGGGTTGCCCGTTAATTGGAAGGTCGGTTCAATCCCCAGCTCCTCCAGGCTGCATGTCAAGTGTCCTTGGGCAAGATACTGAATCCCGAATTGCAGTTGTTCTGCCAGTGTATGAATGGTGAATGTAGTGTAAAAGCGAGTGCATTTACATCTACATATTGTCAGATGAAATTGGAATAACATTGTATTGTGACTTAAGTATCATGATAATACCTATTAATCCTCAATGAACATTTTTGGAATATTAAAATCTCGTAGTGAGAGAAATCTATTCCCTTTCCCCATGTTAGTGTTCATTTCAGAATTTATGTGCGACAGACCTGCGATTGTATCTGGAGCTGTGTGGTGAACGTGATCGGCTGCTGCGTTTCTCCCTTCTACCCTCCGAGCCATGGCGGCGACGCGGGCTGGGCGAACGGGAACATGAGCTGCTTCCCTGCCTCGTTTTCTGGAGATGACGTCGGGAAGTCTGTGCAGAAACTGATGCTGAGGGCGTGGGATCTTTACCCTCAGTCCTGAAGAGAGCAATGGACAAGAAAAGTATAGGTGATTGATGGGTAAAAAATTTAACAGCAGCGTGCTAGTTCATAACTGGTGTGGTTACTATGTATCTAATCGCTAGAGCCGGGCAGACATAGCACAGGCTCAGCTGGATAGTAGTAGAATTTAGAATCACGCCAAATTTCCCCCGATTAATCACTTAATGATCAGCTTTCAGACTATTGGAATTCTGATATGCCACAAATTTTGGTCAGTTGTGAGCGATATTCCTCATGGCTGCGGTCAAAAGATCTGTTAGACTCTAATGAGCGGTTTAAATATTATAGCAATAATAATAATTAGAGATGCATCGATCGATCGGCCAGTGACTGGAATCAGACGGTTTTCAGCTTTAAGAATAGCCAATGCCAGTGCTAATGGGGATCCTAATTAAATAAAGAATTTTCCATTAAATGAAGGTTTCAAAAATGTTTGTATATGCTATCAATTATAGTTCTTCCACAGAACGGAAACCATATTGTCTGCATCTTCCAGACATCTTAGGGATCCATATTCTTTATTTTTCCAATCACAAAGTGCAAGAATCTGTATCAACACCAAATTTGGTATCCAGACTTGCTGTGACACAGATACATTAACGCAGTTCAAATGGGCAGGATTGCCACGGGCGTCGCTTAGCAGAGAACAGGCCATACCTCATTGACCATTTGTCCAGAAGTCACGATAATTTTTTTTTTTTAAATAGTAATCTTCATTATTTAGGGAGAAGCTTCTCAAAGCATTTTTAACTTGATCCATAGGGGACGCCACCAAAAAACGCTCAGTTGACACAAAGTACTTTGAGTAGGGAGCCTGCTTGAATATTGTAATTGATACTGGACATCACAAACTAGGGGCTCCTTGCTTACGTTCAGTAAGAGCTCCACGTAGTGGTCCGTCAATTGATTCATACAGAGCGAGCATAAAAGTTAACACAATGGCAATCTCATTGATCTTGTATGCTGTGTTAACGGTTTTGCTAAGTTTTGAAAATTTACCTGGGCCCGGGTGCTATCTCACCATCCCACTCCGGGTATCTGTGGGAAAATAACAATTTAAACAGACTTATTAAAAACAGTAAAAGGGGTCACATTTTGACAACAAAAGCCAAAAAGGTTTCAACATAGGAGATAAACAGTTTGTATTGAAGTCAAGTCAGTTCTTAAGTCAAAAGGATAAAAGAATTGTGCAGATTCAGCAGACTAAAGAATAACCAAAGGGAGTACCTTGAAGAACCCATTCTTAAAGAATGTATGAACCCTGACACTAGGGATGTCTTGATCCAATTTAAAAGATATGTATCGGGGCCAATCAAGGCATTTATTAACTCATCGGTATCTGCAATATTGGGCCCGATGTCACCGTTAGGTGTTTAATTGCAAACCTTAAATCCATTCAATTTAATTTTTGAATAACATGTACAGACAACAAAAGTAAAACACTCAGCACTATACAGTTTCTTTAGATAAGCCTAACTTTGGTAAAGGCTGCACAGAAGGAGCACATACTGGAGGAAACTTTCAAAAGTACAGACAGATATCCTCGAGACCGAGACGAGTACAAAAACATTAAATGGGTTTGATATTCTATACGGTTATTCCTTAAATAAAATAAAAACCTTAAGAAATAGCTTGGATGCAGGACATTCTTTTCTTAATGCAATTGAATTGCTCCAATTGTTGAGAATTTACATGGATTTATTTTCATAACTTTAATGTATTTGAAGTGTGCACTGCACACCAATATTATCTGAGAAAATAGTACAGTATAGGCAGATGCTCAATATTAAATTACTCAGATCAGGGGCAAAAAAACTTGACAGGGACATCCCTGCCTGACACAAGTTCCACTAGCACTTCAAGGTACACACTTCAGCCACTGTAGGGCACCAAGGTGCTATAGGGGCCCTTAGCAATGACTTATGCGAGCTGTGTCACTATGCTACAGGTGACATCAGAACAAACAATCCTGATCTTTAAATAGAAATGTTCAAAGAAAAACGACTGACTGTGTTCGGAGCAATTTGCAGTTCTCAAGATGAAGGCTGGTGTTCTGGTGGGAGATCCAATCCTAGTCAGAACAACAGATACACAGCATTTAGGAAGGCTTCATTAACAGCAACAATGCCATTAATTTCAATCTCAATTGCCATTCAACTTAAGTGTCTGAGTACCCCTGAAAAGCGCTTAATCAATAAAAAGTATTATAATTGTCTACAAAGACATCTTTTTTTCCCCACCTCTCCACAGCAGCCCTAAAACTAAGATTTAAAAGGTCCCAAATCTCCTTTTTTTGTCTCGGTGGTGGTCTTTTGAGTTTCTCAAGTCCAAATGTCTAAATTTGAGTTTCTCTGCTCTTGCATGTACAAGTCACAGTTTGTGTGGATATTAAAAGAGCAAATTTACAAAAGCAAAATCAACCCAAAAAAATTTAAAAAAAATTTAAAATAAAACAGTAACAACCTTGAGCCTCAATGAGGAGCTTAAACATTAATCAACAGTAAATAAATTATTAAATGATGTCTCAGGTTTAAGCTAAAGTGTGGTGAAAAAATAAACATGAAAACAAGTTTCATATGGACAAAGTTAGTAAGGACATACATCCTTTGGAACTTTGACAATTCTTTCATTTACAATTACAGCTGACTTTATAGTCAACTTGAGGGCAATAAGTCTTTATCATGAAATATAATCCATAAAAAGCCAAAAAACAAGTTCTTCTTCTCGGATTCTTGATAGTTCGATGTCTGCTTCTTCAGATTTGTGTTGTACCATAAGGTTTCCTCAGGTTTGGTCATGGTCAGCAGAGGTCTCTATCAAATGTGGATCAAGATAAGAACAGAAGCTGGAACATCTGGAGCAGAGGCAGGAAGATGTGGAAAATGGAGAGAGGACCTGTCTCTTACTTGAGTAGCAAAAATGTTGAAGGCGGTGTCCCAAAAGGAGGGGGAATTCTTTTTTAAATCACTGCTGAATGTGAGGTTCACTAAATCTGCTGGCTTTGGGTTCATAGTATTTTTAGTAGTTATTGGATAAATAAAGAAAGGGGAGGTTGGCTCCATAATAGCCAATATTACAAAAGTGATACCTACTGTTACATGAAATTAAATAAAGTAACAAAATCCATTACCAATAGTTTCATCCTATACATTCACTGACAACATTTGCAAAAACATTCAAACTGAGTGTACACTGTGGGACAAAAGCCAAATAACAAACAAAAAGGGTAATAGCCATCTTCCATCATCCTCTCATGCACTAGTTCTTCAGATTTGCAGATTCTTCCTTGCCACGTCTTCTAAGTCCTTGATTCCGTTTTCAACAACCACCGTACACTATGACTATTTTGGTACAAAATATTTAGTTTGGTGTACATCAAAATCAGTTAACAGTGTTAAACAACATCCAAAGCTTGCAATCCAAGCTTGTTTTTGCAAAGTAGTACACAGCTGGCACCATTAAATTCAAAAGGATATTTTACATAATTAATTTTCAATAAGCTTGAAGTATTTCCCTTAAAACTTAAAAAAAATTAAAATAAAATTGAAACCCTTTAGTGCTTCCCCACATAAGGCAGAGAGAAGAACAAAGTGCAGCCTTCCACTCACCTTCATATGAGTACATTCTTTGTTACACAGAGAACAGGTATGTGGAAAGATTCTCGGCGAGGCTGCTGCATAGTCATGCATCATGGCCGGCTTTGGCAGGGCCTTGGAGACTCCCACCTTTGCTGGGAGCTGCCTGTTGGAAGGTGGCAGCGTCATATTAATTAAGTTCATCAGGCCTGGTATTCCTTGAGGCAGAGCTGGAGGAATACCCATCGGGCGAGGGATTAACCCCTGTGAGACATCAACAATGCTGGGGAGGAGAGGAGCTGCGGAAACAGTTTTTGCAGCAGAAAAAACTGGAGGCCACGTAGCTTGCCCCGTCTGCGATATCAACTGCTTCTGCTGCTGCATGTGCTGCTTTGATTGTTGCTGACTTGGCTGCCTCGGCGTCTGCTGCGCTGGCTGCCTCGGCGTCTGCTGCGCTGGCTGCCTCGGCGTCTGCTGCGCTGGCTGCTGCTGCTTCATTGGCTGCTGCTTCATCTGCGCTGGCTGCTGCCGCTTCATCTGCTCAGCAACTGTTGACTCTTGACGGCGGGCTTTTCTCTGATTCTTTGTGTCATTACTGTCAATGACCACGAGACCAGGTCGGCTGGGATGCACACCACGGAGCACAGTGCAGGGTGGTTGACTTTTGAAGGTTGACTGGCGATCTGCCTGTGGTTCTTTTAAGGGACCGGGTTTGGAGGCTTCAGGCTTGAGAACTCTGATGTCGGTGTCCTTCTTAGGCAGAGAGAAGAGGCTGGGGATTGTTTGGGATGTCTGCAATCGTTTGTTCGGATCATTGCTTGGGGGAGCCACAGAGCTCAGTACAGAACTGTACGAAGAGCCAAGACTGGTAACAGAACTCGCCTGATCACGTGAAGAACCCAAGGCACTGCTTTTCACCTCTGTTGTATTTTTTTGTAGTGGTTCTCGAATGTGGCTGCTACTATTGAAAGCGTCCATCAGAAACGTACTTCCCCTCCCACCACTGTTGGATCTACTGCCACTGGTCATTCCAATCTCATCCCCAACCCCTCCAGTATATTTGCCAGTATGTCCATAGTCAATCACTTTGCTTGGCTGGAGAACAGCAATAGACCTTTCCTCCTGGCGCATCCCTGCCCCTCTAGAACTACTCAAACTGTGACTGTCCATTCCACTCACACTTCTGGTGGGTTGGGGTTCGGGATAGGGTACTGACTGAACTGCTGTTGTAGCACTCTTGGCCTTCTGAATGCGGATTTGGCGCAAGATGAACGGCAGGTTATCAGGAGTAATCTGGTCTTCGGGGAAAGAGATGAGATGTTCCAAGTCCTCTTTTTCAAGTCCGAAGTGCACGAGGATATTCGCAGCTGATTCGGAAGTGTACTTGGGTCGACTAGACTCTGTAGAGGCGACAGGTTTGTCTGACCCTGCATAGTCATAATCACCTAAACCTGGAATGGACTGCATATCGTGTTCTCTGTTATTGGAGGTATTAAACCTACTGTCCCCACCGCTTGCAAAATTAGACGAAGCAGATGGAGGATAAAATTTAGAGTCATCCGCAGTAGGCCTTTTGTAGTTTGACGACCAGTCCAAGGAGCTACTGCTGCTTTCAATGTCCGAGTGTCTATGTCCTAGAGAGGCAGAGGTTGAGGACATTGGGTAGGAGGCCATCCCTGTGCCTGAGGAGCGCAGCTCATCCCTTTGAGTGTTCGTAAAGAGAGTGCCCTGGTCCACTGCCTGATGCATCGGTTTGTTGAGAAGCCTCACCTCTTCTCTGGCTCTGCTAATATGGATGTCTATAGACTCATCTAAGTCCTTGGTCATTATGGCCCTACTCTGTTCAGGCCTGTAGTTTATTGACTGAGACATAAGTGCAGGGAGCATTCCCCCAGAGTTGGCAGGAGTCACAGAAGAACCTCCAGAAGAGCTGAAACTGGACGCAGGTGCGAGGCGAGAAGGTGCCCTCCGAGGGTCCCTCTCTGATGGTAAACTCGATTGTCCATACTGCCTCTGGGTGGAACTTTGATTCCCAGAGGCATAGGGGTTATACAGGTGATGGGACATATTGTTTGCGATCTTCAGAAGGTTAAGGAGATTGATGGCTGCAGCAGTCGGGGAGGGGGGTTTTGTAGCAATGTATGAAGGTGTGTTCGAGTTTACTGTAAAGGTTGCTGCTCGGCTGCCAACAGCAAGAGCGGTGTTTATCTGAGTCAGTGCTAGCTGGGCTTTCAGTTGGGCCAGCTGCAAGGAAACAGCCTGCTGGCCAATCAGGAGCGAGCTCCCTGGGAGCCCTCCAAGTAGGGGGCTCGTTAGGGGCCCTGGAGCAGGAGAAGGAGCACAACGCTCCGATAACAATGCAAAGCTGAAAAGTAAAAAAAAGGGGGTTATTGAATCGGACTGGACTTCAGCTTGGATGGGTACAAGGATGGGTAGGTGTTGTCGAGTTGTCCACTCTGGCACTTCCTGTTGAATACACATTCATTCCGTCTATTTCACTTCCTGGTCTTCACTAGCAAGAAAGAACAGAGGAGGCAAAACAACAAAGCACAGACGGAAAGAAAAGGTCATTGCTGTTAACAGAAAATATCCCGAACAGAAACAAACTCATTAATTTCCTATTCATGCGCATCTCTGGTGGAAACAGACAGTATACAAAGTGGACATCACCCATTGGTTTGTAGACTACCCTGATCATGGATTTCAGGAAAAAGGAGATAAAGACACACTCCTATCTACATTAGTGGAGCTGAGGTGGAGCAGGTGTACAGTTTCAAATTCCCGGGAATCAGCATCACAGAGAACCTGACATGGTGATCTCACATCTCCACGCTTGAGAAGAAAGCTCAGAAACGGCTGTACTTCTGAAGGAAGCTTAAGAAGGCCAAATTCCCGTGCCAAGATCTTGTCAGCTTTTACAGAAGAGCAATAGAAAGCATCCTGACTGAAAACATCCCTAACTGGCATGGGATATGCATGGTCCAGGACCAGAGGGCTCTGCAGCGGTGGATTAAAACTGCTCAGAAGATCCTTGGTACCCATCTCCCGAGCATCAGTGATATCGGTGAGGTGAGGTGCCTACGCAGAGCCCAAAGGATACTAAAGGACAGTACGCACCCAGCCACAGCCTGTTCATCCTGCTGACTTCTGGGAAGAGATTTTTACTGCCACACCAGACTACAGAGAAGCTTTTTCCCCTAAGCTATCAGACTTATAAACCCAAATTCATCCTTATCACTGCTCCATTGATTTTAGTTTATTTCTGTTTACCATTTTTATAATTGCTTTTATAATCAATGTATATTGTCTGCTACGCAGCAGAATGGAGTTACAAACTCAATTTCATTATATAACCTTTTGACAAAATAAGTATACCTACCTACCCACCCTTTTGAAACCTCAAGTTTGGCATATTGGCTGTCGCCATATTTGGACAAGAGGGTGGTGCTGGGGAGGAAACGCACTGCTGTGCCTGACAGATCATCATAATTAACTAAATGAACACCATGCTGTGTCAAAGGACACTAGTGATTGAGACCGTAAACTCATTAGGAAAGTGTTTAATGAGGTAATAAATCACGTGAGAAGTATGGTCATTTTGTCATGGACCACAATGCAATCTGACTTCTTTTTTCAACCAGTGGAGTTGCTTCCATGTTGGCTTCACTTTTCAGACCAAGAGGTTTCCGCTTAGGTGGAAACAGTTGAGGGATGGCACCAACAGACAGACAGACTTTAACAGAATTTAACATCTTACAAGTGTAATTTCCATTTCAGAACATCAAAATAGCTCATAGTGGAAGATTCTGATGAGCCTGAAAAAACTGTGTGGAATGCTTTTGATGCCAGTCTACATAAGATTGAACTTCCAGTGTAACTCACAATTGATTGGGTTAGAGGTTAGGCAGTTTAACAGAACGGAAATAAACAGAATGAGGGCACGGTCACACATGTATGGATGCATGAAGCAACCTTCACCTGAGGTGCAATTCGTAGTTTGTCGTGCTAATTGTGGGCAAAGCACGAAGTGAGACACGCAGAAATCAATTTGCTGGTTTGTAGTCCATTTGAGTGGTTGTGGTTGTTGGGACATGAGCGGTTTAGATCACACAGCGGTTGTTGGTCTCCTCTATCAAAACGACGGCTAACGAAACCCAAGGGGGGTCAATCACACACACATTTCTTTGCTATTAGTTGAGGCTGCGCCTTAGCCAGGAAAAGTTCACCCAAGTTGAACTCCACACAAATGAAAGATGCAAATTAGGTTTGCAACCTAAAGTGGATGTTTTATTTCCCCCTTCGCTCGCAGGGATGGTAGTGAACGGGATGTGAACATTTGTACGTTATAATTCCACGCATGTGTGACTGTGCCCTTAATCACCATCCAGATTCAAATGATTTACAATGTGATGGCCTAAATATTACCCAACAGCATTTTTGAAAAAAAAAAAAAAAAAAAAAATAGTTTTGTAATATCATTCATCTGGAATAGCATAGAATTCACTCACAGAAAGGGCCTTTCCAGGGACTACTTTTCCTGCCCCTCCACCTATATCTGATTACTGACGGATGGGCACTGAAACCTGGTATGAGTCGGGACCCGGGGCTAAATTATTAGTATTGATAACCTCCAACGTTAATTGTTCTTTTTTTAAGGTTTTGGTATAATTTATTAACAAGCTCTCCTCTATTTGTCAGGGCTGAGCTCTTCCACACACACACAAGGAGAAAAACAGACAGCAGAGCAGAGAGGTCGCGGTGGAGACAGTCAGGTTAAGATAACTCCAAGAGTTGACGACAATTACTGTAAGTGCGTGCAATAAAGAATTGATGAAACATAGGAGAGCGGTTTGTCCATTTGGGCTACTGTAGGCGCAACCTGGCAACTTCCAGGGGACCCTATGTATGTACATATGGTCACAGGCAAAGTAGCGGCTATAACTAGCCAATTATCTGAAACATTCAAACTCAACCATTGTAGCAGTTCTACTACATCTTTTCCTCTGCCCTCCAAGGTCAGTGGTTCTTCACTCTCCTTGTTTACTCCTCTCACAGAGAGCGAAGTATTAGAACTCTTGACCCGTAGCCGTCCAACTACATGGCCAATGGACCCGATTCCTACGAATCTCCTCCAAGCCATTTCTCCTACCGTGGTCCCAACTCATGTGATAAATACTTCTCTGGTTTCAGGAACCTTCCCGACCACTTTCAAATGGGCTCGGGTTACACCCTTGCTCAAAAAGTCCTCACTTGACCCAACTCAAGTTGAGAATTATCGACCTGTGTCTCTTCTACCATTTTTATCCAAAACTATTGAAAGGGCAGTATTCAAACAGGTCCCAGAATTCCTCTCACGGAATGACCTCCTAGATCCATACCAGTCTGGTTTTAAGAGTGCCCACTCTACTGAAACAGCTCTTTTGTCTGTAACAGAAGCCCTAAGGGCAGCTAAAGCTGCAGCCCAATCCTCGGTTCTTATCCTGCTTGACCCATCAGCTGCCTTTGACACAGTCAACCACAGGATCCTGCTATCCGCACTCTCAGCAATGGGCATCTCGAGTAAAGCACTCCTGTGGCTCAAATCCTACCTCTCGGGGCATTCATACAATGTTTTGTGGCAAGGACAATTATCCTCCTCCCACTGCCTCTCCACAGGGGTGCCCCAAGGCTCAGTGCTAGGGCCCCTTCTCTTCTCAATTTACACCACCTTACTGGGGCCGATCATTTGCTCACACAGCTTCTCTTACCACTGCTATGCAGACGATACGCAACTCTACCTATCATTCCCACCAGGCGATCCCATCGTCTCGGCACGGATCATGGAATGTCTCTCGGACATATCTGCATGGATGAAGGCTTGCCACCTTACACTAAACCCTCTCTAAGACTGAACTCTTGGTCATTCCAGCCAAGCAATCTATCCACCATAACATCAAACTACATACTGACTCCTCAACCATCACTCCAACCAAGGTGGTGAGAAACTTGAGTGTCATGATTGATGACCAGCTGTCCTTTTCAGGGCATGTTGCTGCTGTCTCTCGGTCATGTCGCTTTGCTCTATACAACATAAGGAAAATCAGGCCGTACCTCACTCAGTACGCCACCCAGCTTCTGGTACAGGCCATGGTTATCTCTCGCCTCGACTATTGCAATGGCCTCCAAACAGGTCTTCCAGCTTGTGCGGTGAAACCCTTACAAATGGTTCAGAACGCAGCAGCGCATCTGGTTTTTGATCAGCCCAAAAGAACTTATGTCACTCCATTATTCAGTGACCTCCACTGGCTCTCCGTGGCCTCCAGAATCAAATTCAAGTCACTAATGCTTGCATACAGAGAGACTACTGGGTCTTCACCCATCTACCTAAACTCCATAATACAAACTTACGTTCCTTCTCGGCCGCTACGCTCCTCCAACAAACGCCACCTGGCTCTGCCATCTCTTTACACAAAGCAATCCCAGTCCCGGCTGTTCTCATCTGTGACACCACGATGGTTGAACGAGCTGCCACACGCCATCAGAGCAGTGAAAACTCATCTCTTCCGAGAACACTTCCTCTTATAACACCTCTAACATGCACTTCCTGTGCTCTTCTTCTTCTATCCCCTACAATTATCTTGTATTGATTGCACTTTTTTTGTTAACTCTTACTTCCTTCCCTAGGTATTTACCCCATTGATGTGATATGTACTATGAGCTCTTACTAGTATTTATTGCGGATCTTATTAGTATGTATTGTCAGTTGTAGATCTGTATTTGATGCTCTGTTGATGCTTGTATGTTGTTCCTCAAATGGAAATGGCTCATTCCAAGGTAATAAAAACATAATTGTTCCTTATGGTCTTTATACACCAATGAAAATGGTTATATGAAAATGCATTTCTGTCAATAGATTGTCTTAAGTATTACATACTGCTGAACCTTTACAAATACTGTGAATTGCCCCCAGAGCATTGAACTTGGGTTTATTAAACCTAAAGGATGGACTGTCACTTACTCGAGGTTTCCATGTTTGTTGGTTTTCAGTCATGTCTGCATTATTGAATATAAAAAAAAAATCAGTTCCTCAACGGTAAGAAGGACTTGCATCTTGACGTAAACACTACATGCCTTTTCAGGTCATATATTTAGACATATTATAGTTGGAAAAGCACAGGCTCTGCTCAAGTTAGGTGCTGTGGTTTAACGTCCCCGGTATTGTGCGTGCTTGGCTCACAGTGACAGTTAAAAAGAAAGAAGCATCGGTGTGGTTTGTGCGACGACAAGACAAAAGGTCTGCTTTAAGTACGAAACTGGAAATCATGGTAACTACAATATGACATGAACGCAAGATACGCCTCCAAACGGGCACACTTTGAACGTTAATGACTGCTTGACCTAATAGTTTGTTAAATATTTGTCTAGATGGTGGCGTTAGGTAGCCGTTTCATCCGAGCCACAGGCCTGAATCCTACGGTCACTGACGTACCGGTTGGCTAAATACGTTTTACAATAACACACAAACGCAAAACATTCGACATGTTGCCTGTGTTTACAAAACAACCAAAATGTTTTGCTGTGTTTACTTTCCAACGTTAAACACGAACTGTTTGCGAGCCAACGAATGGCTACACAAGCCTGGCGTGCTTCTGCTAGCAACAGCTAACGTTGACTTCAGGAGGGCCCGGTTGAAAACACACGCACACCACGAGTTTTTTGGTTAACAAGCCGTTAACCGTGTTTCACTCCGGGGTTTTACAAAAATCATTTTGTTTCATACCTTCCGTGTATATCGTGCAGCTTCGATGTGCTCAAACGTATCCTCGGGTTGTTAGCAGGAAGGCTTTCTCAGACGCCTACACGAAACGGTAAAGACTTCCGGTTTTGGTGCCCACATTTCAGAGTAAAAGCTCGAATGTTTGAAGACAATCAGAATCCAGTCCAGCCAATCTTCTGTGTTTACATTTAACTAGAAATGGCTTAAATAAGATAGTATTTGAAAACATCCTTTTTATTTGCATTAATTGCATTGAATTGTTTGTTCTCAATTAATCATTTTGTCGCTATAATAGTAAAATCAGTAGCAACAATTAATTTAGTTTCTCAGAAATTGTGGTAGGCATGTTTTCATTAAACAGTTGAGAATTATTAGGGATTAATCGATAATGGGAATTTTCAACTTGTTCATGATTTAGTAGTTTGGTTCACAGGCGCAGGCACTTTTATTTGAAGAAACGAATCAGACTTCTTGTTAATATTGTGTGATGCTGCAATAATTTGTCCTAAATAAAAGCTTTGATTGAATTTAGGTAAGACAGGTAGGTTTGTATTTCACTATAATTTGTCTTAAAAGTCATGTCTTAACCCTTAACCGCAGCATTGCTATCTTCTTGTCTACAGACTACAAGTCACATTTTAACAAGTTTGCCTAATATTTGGAAACCAAGGCCACACAATTAAATTAATCTTAATATCAGTACACTCTAAGAAACAGTGATGGCTATGTAGTTTATTTAAAAACCAGAGGGATAGGTGTGTTATCATTATTCTGCCACAAAACGGCGCTATTCTCACAGGAATAGTTTAGTTTATTTAGGCACCAATATTATTTAAAATTCCCTATAGAATATTTTTTTCTTGGTTTCTGTCACCTTTTCCCACAAACCTCTCTGAATATTTACTACACATGCTGATATAAAAGAATATGTTGTAATAACTCCCTTCCAGATAAGATAAGATAAGGTAAGATAACAGACAAGATAAAGTGCTTTTCATGTTTGCTTCAAATGTGATTGAGAAATTTGAGTGAGCAAATTTTGAGGTAAAAGACCTGAGAAATGAGGAAAGGTTTATTGTTCTTTTGAAAACACGCCTTCTCTACTTTACAATTTGAACCTGAGGTTATGTCAAATGTCAGAGTTATGTAAACCCTAAAAAGAAGGTGATAAACCCTCCTCCTGCAAATAAAATAAAAAGGATAAGTCGATGATGCCAGGCAATCACTTTCCAACACATATCCGGATTCCCCAATTGGATTTGGGGTCACACAACCAGCATACCACATATCCTACGCTCAGAGATACGCCAGCCTATGAGCTTACAGTCTTTAATAATAAACAGCTATTGACTTTACAGACTGTTGAATCAACAGGTTATCAAAAGGTGATGATGAATATTTTCATTAAAGGATCATTCTCTGTTTGGTATTGCAGCAAATTATGAATGTATCCCCTTTTATCCCCTCCCTCGGACCACAGGGCTTAACGCCTGACCACGACACAACAGCTGACTGGCAGCTCTCCGGCCATGTGTGTGTGTCTGTGTGTGTATGAAGGAGTGTGTGTTAATGTGTGTCTGGGAGGGGAGGTTGAGCCAATAGATGTTCAGTTTTATTTTCGGCTGTCATCGCTACCCTGACAGAGGCCTGGTCTCATAGCGGTGACCTCACCACGGAGAGCGCACACACACACTAGGACGTATAGGCATGTGTGGAGACATCAGGGCAGATTTAGAAAAAGGACTTGGTCACAAATTTGATCTTTATTTCTTCATACACATTCACACTTACATGCACATATCTAAAGTTCTCCCGTATAATATCAAGTTCTATGACCATTTAATTATTATTTGCTTCCTTCCCTTTACTCAAACCTTCAGACTACAGTGTGACATCGTTTGTGTGTCTGCATGTTCAGCAACTTGATGCAGCTCTGCTGGTGTCTATGAGCTCAAGTCAAGTCCTCAAGTCCCCATGTTCAACTCATCTCACCTCATGCCAAGATGAAGTCCCTATATGTAGTATTATCTAAAACAGAGGTTTTCAAAGTGTGAGGTGGGCCTTGATCCCTGGTGTTTTTTAGGAGAGTCTCAGTGAAAAGGAAGTGAAAACATATTAGGCTACATTACTTATCAAAAGGAGATCACATAGAATAGCCTATATGTTTGTGATTTGGTTAAAGAGTGAGTTCAGAGATACAATAGATTTCAGGAACAGTTTTTCCCACTTCAGATTCTGAAACTAATAAACGCTTTAGGAAACACCTTTTTTAAATGTATTTGGTATAGTCTGAAGTTATGTCAAACAGCAATATTGGGCTATCTTGACTCAATTGTTTAGTATCTATGGGATCAAATGACATAATATTATGATCTCCTAGGCCTCCAGGCTTGGTCTGAGAGGAGGCCCACGGGCTAATACCTTGAAAACCCCTGATCTAAAATATTAAACTGCAAGTGACAACTAAATACTACAATGTAAAACTGTATAATTCAATTCATCCATCCATCGTCAACCGGGAGCCAATCCCAGCTGGCATTGGGCAAAAGGGGGTACACCCTGGACAGGTTACCACATAGACAAACAACCACTCACGCCTAAGGACAATTTTTAGGGTCACCAATTAGCCTAGCCCGCCTGTCTTTGGACAGTGGGAAGAAGCCGGAGCACCCAGAAAGAACATCCAAACTCCACACAGAAAGACCAGGGAAACCAGGGTTTGAACCCACAACCTTCTTGCTGTGAGGCAACAGTGCTAACCACTGCACTACTGTGCCACTATCGTGTAATTCAATTCAATTTTATTTATATAGCGCCAAATCACAACAACAGTTCTCACAGCGCTTTTCATAAAAGAGCAGGTCCAGACCATACTCTGTGATGTTATTTACAGAAGCCCAACAGTTCCCACCAAGAGCAAGCACAGGGATGGTTCAGGACTCACCTGAGCCAGCCCTAACTATAAGCTTTATCAAAGAGGAAAGTCTTAAGCCTACTCTTAAATGTGGAGATGGTGTCTTCCTCCTGAGCTCTTTAAGATAAGATGGTGCCTGACCATTAAGAGCTTTGTAGGTAAGAAGAATGATTTTAAATTCTATTCTGGATTTTACTGGAAGCCAATGCAGAGAGGCTAAGACAGGAGAAATGTGATCTCTTTTCCTGGTTCCTGTCAGAACACGTGCTGCAGCATTCTGGATCAGCTGAAGAGTCTTAATGGACTTTTTCGAGCGGCTTGATAATAAAGAATTGCAGTAATCCATCCTAGAAGTAACAAATGCATGGACTAGTTTTTCTGCATCATTTTTAGACAGGATATTCCTGATTTTCGCAATATTACGTAGGTGAAAAAAGGCGGTCCTTGAAATTTGCTTCATGTGAGACTTAAACGACATGTCCTGATCAAAGATAACTCCAAGATTCCTCACAGTGGTGCTGGAGGCCAGGGCGATGCCATCAAGGGAAACTATATCTTTAGACAATGCGTCACGGAGGTGCTTAGGCCCCAGAGCAATAACTTCAGTTTTATCTGAGTTTAACATTAGAAAATTACAGGTCATCCAGATTTTAACATCCTGAAGGCACATTTGAAGTTTAGCTAACTGATTAGTTTCATCTGGCTTGATCGATAGATATAACTGAGTATCATCTGCATAACAATTAAAGTTTATAGAATATTTTCTGATTATATATGCTTCCTTTAGGCAATATTAAGTGAAGAGGATTGGTTCGAGGACAGATCCTTGAGGAACTCCATGATTAACTTTGGCGTGCATGGAGGACTCATCGTTAACATGTACAAACTGAAATCAATCTGATAAATAGGACTTAAACCAGCTTAGAGAGGTTTCTTTAATGCCAATGAAAAGTTCCAGTCTCTGCAATAGGATCTGATGGTCAATGGTATCAAATGCAGCACTAAGATCTAATAAAACCAGTACAGAGACAAGTCCTTTGTCTGATGCAATAAGAAGGTCGTAATTTTCACCAGTGCTGTCTCTGTGCTATGATGAGCTCTAAATCCTGACTGAAAATCCTCAAATAAACTATTGCTCTGTAGAAAGTCAGCTGTTAAGCAACTGCTTTCTCCAGGACCCTAGAGAGAAATGGAAGGTTAGATATAGGTCTATAGTTGGCTAAAACATCCAGATCAAGTTTGGGCTTTTTAAGAAGAGGTTTAATTACAGCTACTTTAAAGTACTGTGGTACATAGCCTGTTGATAGAGATAGATTGATCATATCTAGTATAGAAGTGCTGACTAAGGGTAAAACATCTTTAAGCAACCTAGTCGGGATGGGGTCTAAGAGGCAGGTTGATGGTTTAGATGAAGAAATTATTGAAGTTAGTTGGGAAAGATTGAGGGAAGCAAAGCAGATTAAACATATATCTGGTTTTACAGCTGTTTCTAAGGTTCCTGAGTTTAGAGATAAGTTGGTGCCAGTTGAGGGCAGGTCTTGGTGAATTTTGTTTCTAATAGTTAGAATTTTATCATTAAGGAAGCTCATGAAGTCATAACTACTGAGAGCTATGGGAATACTTGGCTCAATAGAGCTGTAACTCTCTGTCAGCCTGGCTACAGTGCTGAAAAGAAACCTGGGGTTGTTCCTATTTTCCTCTATTAATGACGAGTAGTACGCTGCTCTGGTATTACGGAGGGCCTTCCTATAAGTTTTAAGACTATCTTGCCAAATTAAACGAGAATTTTTCAGTTTGGTGGAACGCCAATTCCTCTCAAGTTTCCGCGATATTTGCTTTAATTTGCAAGTTTCAGTATTATACCATGGAGCTAACCGTCTTTGTTGTATTATTTTATTTTTTAGAGGGGCTACAGAGTCGAGTGTCATTCGCAGCGAGCCTGCAGTACACTATAACAAAAAAAAAAAGATTAATATCAATATTCATATAAGATAAATACTGCTTATAGAATTTGATTAATTTAATATATCTGACTTGATCTTGACCCTGTTATTATAATCTCTATTATTGTCGGGAAGTACAGAGAATTTCAACAAATACAACAAAAATTGTTTCTGAAATAAACTGCCTACCCCAGCTTTAATCATTTGAAACAAGTATTTTAAAGTCTAATCCATTTAAAAACAAATTAGAAAATGCTAAGCTATTAAAACCCTAACAATCAATCTTAAAAAAATAGTTCCTGGGTTTAAATATTTTTATCAGTGTAAACCACATTTAGCTTCATTAGAATGCTGAAAACATTTTTGTTTCTTATCTCACAATGTTACCAGTGCTACTCAGATTGTTTAGCTGTGATCTTAATGATGAATGCTCCATGTCAAACACAAATACATACGAAAGCATTCGTGTGTCTCCACATGAATGTGCAGCATCTAACTCCCCCTCCCAATAACTCACGGTCAGATCCCCTCTAATGATCTCAACAATTCCGCCTGGAGGTAACCTGACCCCAGATTAGTGACGATGAACAGTGACTGCTGCCATGATTGACGAGGAATGTGTAATATCAATTTACCATCTGTCTTCAACCTCTGGATCTTTCCAGAACAAACATGGCTCCTATTTCCTCAACTTGGCAAAACTGAAAATCTGAGCAGGGAAGTTTACCAAAGAATGTTTTACCGTCCCAACATAATGACTGACAAGATGTGGCTGAGCAAGGCACTCGTCCTTCAGCCTATCAAATACACCACAGTGGTTGTGCTCACATTCATTTCATAGTCTCGGTTAGTGTTAATATTGCTATAGCTGCCGTTTTCTCAGAAGAACTCCACGTTTTATGTTATTCAAAGTTTTGGAAATGAGTGCTGTGTACAAATTTACCTCCAAAAGCTTATTTTATTGGTTTTCAGCAAGTTGCCTTGTTTGTAAAATATGCAAAAGTCCCTGATAAACATCAGGGCGAGTTCAGCGCCAACAAAATGTATTCAACCCTGGTCAAAACACCGATGACTCATCGTCCTAATAGGCCAATCAGGTTAAAGATGCCCACATGCTTTTTTTAGGCCACCATGTTGGTTTCCATCTGCCTAGTGTTTGTTTGTTTTGTTTTTGGTGTTGTTGTTAATTTCAAATATTTATTTTAAAATGCATTGCTGATTGCTGCCTATTTTAGGTGCTCGCTTGTGATTGGCCTTTTCAAGGGCGGATCAGTTTATGCTAGTGTTGTTTTTAAAGTGACACCGTGTAACTTCTGACTAACACCATGGCCACTCGTGGTAATTACAGAATAATGGCAAATGCTAAAGCCTCAGCAGTGACTCAGCAATCTCTGTTATAAAGCAACATCTGTCTATAGTTGGCTAACGTTAGCTAACATTAGCTATCAAATACACCGCAGTGGCTAACATTAGCCATGAGCTAATGGTCACGAGACCAAAAAAGGCTGCAGCAGCAAAACCTCTGAATGTAAAATTCAGCAAAGTTGTGTTTTATTGGTTATAATTTATACTTTTCATTTACAAGGGAAAGAACATGTTGAATCCTCTTTAGTCTTGCTTTAAGATATTGGCTAGTCATGCTTAAATGGCCTCTTGGACTTAGTTTGACTTACAAATGTGGCTCAATCTAGCTTTTTTTCTCTAATTAGTTTTTCCTGTGCTTGGGTGACTAAACTTATTTCCCCCTTGGAGATTATCAAAGTTATTTGTCTATCTACGCTGTGCAGAGTCATTGTATGTGTGCTGTGCTTATTATCACCCCTTTTAGCCACCCACCCTCACCCAACATGCCCGCCCGGCGTCCTTTGACAGGCAGCTTCCAGTTTATGAGTGTTACCTCAGCGTCTCCTGGGAGTCACTGCGCCCTCTGCAACACACCCAGCGACAGAAAGATGGGTTAAAACCATCCTGCGCCGGGGGACAGGGAGTGCATATGGTAACCCACACCAGGCAAACCCGGCTGCTACACACGTCAGGGTCATAAATCTCTCTGCAGCATTGGCGGGTTGATTTTTTTGACGGATTTTGATTTGAAGGTGGAGACAAGAAGAGCCGAGGGAAGAGGAGGACAGGGTGACTCTGGTTGAAATTACACCTTCTTTAAGAAAAGTTTAACTTCTGTTTTATGATTTGGGTTCTATATTTTTCTTTTTAAACATAATATTCATAATTCTTTGATTTGATAGGTAGGCTTTTTTACTTCTCCCTGCAGACCAATAGAATAAATATAAGAATAAATGTTATCTTGATGTCATTTGATTCAAAAAAGTTCAATACCATATTTCCTTAAAATATGATGAGGATATAAGTGTGTGAGACTCTTTAATTCAACATCTTATAGGACAGAATTCCTCATGTTTCAATTCATTTCTGCAGTCTTTAACAATTCTACAACCTGTATTTGCTTCCCTGTGTGTATTTGTAAGTGTTTTTGCATGTGGGATACTGTGAGAGCTGCTGCCATTCTCTGAGGAGCAGTTAACAGAGGATCTAACTAGCACTGATGAAAATAAATCACCACTGGCTCAAACAGAGAGTTGCAGTCACTCAGCACCATGAGATGTGTGTGTGTGTGTGTGTGTGTGGTAAAGGGCTAGGGGATGCATTATGTCATTGAGATGTCCCCACGGGTATAGAGGAATAAACTTGTGTGTGTGTACACACGTGCAAGTCTTCACACAGAGAAATAGTTTATTTGTCCTTGGACTGTGTGTATGTGCAGAGATGTAATGAGATATTTTTAGTGGTGGCATCGACATATCATAATTTTATGTTTCAGTCCCCTTCAGAATGTGCATGTGATGTGTTGGTAATAAATACTGAACGTGTTTTAAGTATGGGCGAGTCCAGGTTAAATTTAAAGTCAAAGACAGGTCAAAGACAAGTCTCATTACTTGTGAAAGCATGTCAAAACTCACAATTCTGCCTGCCAGGATTTCTGTGTCTCAGTGTCTGTTTTTTTTTTCTTTTTAAGTCTCAAGCAGAAGCAGCAGTTTCAGGTCCTCATTTTTATGACTCAGTTGTGGCTCGCATCCCGGCCGGGTCTCCAGTCCCAGCTGTTAGAAAGTTCAAACTTGGCCAAGTTATAACCCGAGTGTTTACTACCTGGAGATTTATGCATCACTAAATAAAAACAAGTCACACCGCACAAGCTACTGCTTACACAGAGATAAGTTGTTGCTAAACATATACACCTATCACTGTGTAAATGTTAAGTAGCTAACTGAACCAAATGACAAAGCTAACGTTGCTATATGTTTAGATCTGTTTAGAGTGAAGAGTAAAAGAGGTATGGGCAACATATCAATTGAGTACAATGCTGTTTAATAATCACGTAAACTGGGAAGATTTTATGAATAATATCTCATAAATTACATGAGGCTACTCCTCCCTATGTAGATTTTGTCGCTTTTATAACAACGTCACTTGACGTCCTCGTTTGCTTGTGTCATAATTACTACAGCTGCTAGAGGGCTTTGTCACTTGAACATAAATGTTTTGGGGAATTAGCTGAAACGACCGTTGAGTCTCGTCAGAAGCTCTAAACACATATCACTGGTGGAGAAGTAGATTATACTGCAGGAACGGTTTACAATGTTTCTATGATTGTTACTTAATATTTGTAAATAAAAAATTAGAAGTAAAAGTATTCAGTGCTATACATTATATCATTAGATTATTATTACTTATGCATAAAAACAGGATTTTACCGCTAGTTGTTGAGGTGGAGCTCATTTTTAACTATTTTGTATCTGACTGCAACTAATAAATATTTTCATTATGGATTTATCTGCTTATTATTTCCTACATTAATCCATTGAGTGTTTGGTTTGTAAAAATTCAGAAGATAGTGAGAAATGGCGTCACAATTGCCCAGACCCAAAAGTGACACCTTAATAATGCTTGTTTTGTCCAACTATTTAATCAACTAATTGTTTTAGCTGTACTTGTATAAAACGTTGGGCAGTTTAATTTAAAGCAACATACTTTATTTTAGCCCTTTGCATGTTTTGTGTGCAATAATCTTATTTTATAAAGTTGCTCAACCTGATAAATGAAGTAGAAGCAGAAAGTGGCCTAAAAATAAAATACTCATGGAAAGTACAAGTACCTCACATTTGTACAGTACTTGAGTAAATGTACTTAGTTCCACCACTGTCTGTGGTTCACAACAGTCCTCAACAAGCCTCCAGGAGGTGAATATTTAATACTCAAAAGGCAGATTTGTGGTTGAGTGTTTTTTTTTAAAAGCCACTACTACACTAAAAGCCATTACTAGAAACAATGAACGTCACACAAGTAGGAATATGACTAGTTACAAAAGTCTGAGAAGAAGAATTCTTTCATGTAAAATCTTAGTCTTATATTTTTCTCTCTGACCTCACAGGGAGCTCGAATGAGAAGGACAGCTGAAAATGATCGCAATACTGCATCATGTAGCAGAGTGTGAATATGTGTGTGTGTGTGTGTGTGTGTGTGTGTCTAGTTCGAGTTACATCATCACAACTCGGCTTTATTTACAGCTGAGGCGAGTTTTCATCACTGCTGAGGTATGTGTCATTCCTTTTCAGACACACTCAAAATATATTTGACACCGTATCAACTGATACGGTGAGCTGGCTTTAAGACTTTTACTATTTTAGGAGATTAAAAATATAAATAAACCGAGTCAAAGAAAGCAATAGAGAGATAAGAAAGATCAGGGATTTATTTTCTATTTTTGTCTTTTTTATGATTTCAACCTGTGCAAATAAACTCAAATCTAAGCTGAATCCTTCTGGACAACAAAAAACAAAAGAGTAGTTTTTTCTGTTCCCTTGTCTTTTCCATAGCCTCTCTACCCTCTCCCTTTTTTCTGGCACGTACTCAATTTAAAATTCTTGTCAAAGGCTTTGTACTGTGAAGTCCTGTCCACAGTCATCACACTTACTAACCTGATTCTGAGGCTAGACTGGCTGGTTGACCCAGAAACTCTTTTCACAACTGGATGAGCTAATGGAGTCCCACACAAAGTGACCTGATCGTCCAGAGATCGCTCTGCTCAAACACACAGTGTATAATTCAACACAACCCTGTACTGAAGTGACTTTATTTCCAAAACACCATACATGATGCTTGCTGTTGATGTTTTACTTTAATGAAACATATCCTGCTTTCACGATCCACTCTGGCGCTGCTAGAAATACCTGGTCATGAGATTCCAGCATCTGTATCTAAACAAAATCAAAGGTTTTCCTTTTAAGCACTTTACAGCACAATGTTTTTAATCAGCTGTGAGTGTCACCAAATGAGACCCATCACACTCATGAGCACCCAAATAAACAAACAATGTTGTATCATTTAGATTTTCCTTTATTTGAGAGGGTACAAATATGGACTAATGTTACTCCAAAGACACTGCATGCTAATACAACTTTTCTCTTATATTTCCAGATATGTATATTGCAGTTTTGAGAGGGCACTGTGCAATTAAACTAAGGCTCCAGCTTGGGTTCGGGAGGCAGACACCATCTCCACATTTAAGAGTAGGCTTAAGACTTCTCTCTTTGATAAAGCTTATAGGGCTGCTGGCTCAGGTGAGTTCTGAACCATCCCTAAGTTATGCTGCTATATGCATAGATTGCTGAAGGACTTCCCATGATGCACTGAGCTCCTCTCTCCTCCTCTCCATCTGTATGCATTCTTAGCCCATTAATTCATGTTTTTAACTCGACTTCATCCCTTTCATGTAGTTTTGTGCTTTCTCGTCCATCTCTTCTCTCCATCTCTCACTTTCTGTTGTGAATTGGCACTATATGAATGACACTGACTTGAACTGAATTGTATGAGTTAGTAACGTTACTGTAAATAAAATAAAGATGTGAGTTGAGGTATTCAGATGGTTTTGATAAGAACGGTCAACGAAAAGTAACCTGCCTTGTAAGCGTCCATCTCCTCTTTCCTTCTATTGCTTTCTGCAGGTGTTTCTTGCTCTGGATCTGCAGTTGCGGGTTTCCTGATGCCATCATGTTTCTGTTCAATATTTGTTTGTACAATTATTATTATTAGTCCTATTTTTATATCATTAATTTTGCCATCATTGTTAGGACTATTGTTGTTTTTGTCTGTACCACTGCCACTTTTACTGTTTTTGTATTTCTGTGTGCATATTATGTTGAGCTGCTTCTCACTCTCAAAGTCTAGAAACAGCTAGCACTCAAACTAAATCCATCTGTCAGCGCCTCTAAGGCTCGCTAATTAGCAAGTACAAGAATCCATGTAGAATCAACATTTCTTGTCTGGGACCAGTAACTGTAAAAATAAAAACGCTATAAAAAGAGAAATTGACATTTTTACTCTGAGGTTTTTGTACTGATTACCCATTGCAATCGACAGAACACATCATTAAATGTTTTAAGAAAATTATATTTATATGCAAGTCCGCCCATTACAAGAGCCCACACAGTTTGCTTTTAGAAAAAGGGTTGGAGTTGTTGATGAACCTTTCTCTGGATCCCCTGTGATGCTAAACTTGACAGTAACAGTGGAACCAGTAAAAACAGCGATACTGGAGGAAGCTTGCGTGGAACGTTGTGTTAAAGTGTTAACGGTCAACAGGTGGGAGAGAACACAGTGAGAGGAGAACAGGACACTGACAAACAAAAGTGTAAAGTTAAGGAGAAGTGTTTCTACATTAAATAGAAATTACGAAATGATAAACAACGGTGAAGTAAACACACACAGTGTGACAATCACACCAGTCACATTCCAAAAACTGAAACCCTCTCAAACATTTATGAGGTGTCATATGTGTAGGCTAAATGAAATGTCTTCATGGAGACAGCATTACTGAGGCTGCAGTGAGGTCAGTGTGTTTTTGAATTAAGGGAGTTTTTAGTTTCCACAGTTTCCTCAATGTGTTGTTTTCCCACTTTGGTTTAAGTTCAGGATGCAGCTGAGCTCAACTTAATTTCAACTTTTATGATTCAAACCGAGGGAATCTCAATCCATTTTTGCCCAATAATCTCTCCTAATACTGGCATCCCCGACCAGTAATTAAGACCTAGCTAATTTCGTAGTCGTTCTAGAATAACAATGGATCAAATTACTATTTGTAGCGTGTAAAATGGTCACTTGAGTGAGTACTAAAGGTGTATCTGTTTTTTAATTAACAATAAATATAGGAACGTGTTCTGTAAATAGTTATTTTACTATTGTGTTCAAAACTTTGCTCTGAAGCTCAATTCTGAGGCTGTTCTGTTAATAGTTTTCTAATAAACATAGCAACCTCTGATCAACCCATATCAATATCAGGCTTCAAGATGGAGTAATTCTTATCCAGCACGTCTTTTGTGAAATTCAGCAAATATCTCCTCATAGTCCACTAGCGGCTCGTTCTGTGTGTGCACTGATAGAGAGAGATCCAGTGTTTGTAAGCAGCCCTGGCTCTGTAAATAGGAAATAAACAAAGAGGGCTGCACCCTGCCACACATCACTATTCCAGCGGTGGTTATTTCAGCTTACTTTCTAGTTTGTCAGAATATGCTATTG